AAATGTTGGATTTTTGTAAAAGAGATGCCTATGCAACAACAGTACTAAGCCACTACACACAGAACATCCAGGAACTGTACAAGCAAGATAATTAACTTTCATGGACTAATACTTCTATTTATAATGGAAACTATGACCAGAAAATATGTTTTCTGAAATGACAATCTAAATGTTAAATATTTATTAAAATGATATAGACAAATACTTTAATTACATGGCAGCAAACTAAGTTTCAGAACACAAACTGGAAATGTAACCTTTGATACAGAAATAGAATCTCAGGAGTCAGATAAGAACAGGAAAAAAAAACCACTATCCATACAAGTCCAGCAAACAGAGACCAAATATTTATTTTTGTACAGCATTTGCTCCGTGTCTTCATGCATAAGTCACCTTGCCACTCGGTAGTTGAAGATTTCATGACATCCCTCACCTTGAGCTATACTCTTCCTCAGCTTGGTGACTAATTTCCAGCAAATGCCTTAAGGCCTGACCTTGAGCATACTTCACGCACATAAAGAAAACCATATGAAATGCCTTCACAGTATCCCCATAGCAATATCAGTAATACACATGATTGCAGGATTGATCAAGACACTGAACCCTATTATTAAACACAATACTACAAAATAACGCCCCTGCACTTACAGCCATTTAAAATACTATTAAAAAACCTCATAACTATGAAATTTGCACCTACAGAATTACACAGGATTTGGCAGGAATGCTTCCTATACTCTCATGTGGTCTATGAATATCTGGACTTGTCAACACTGGCCTTTGGTTTAGTTATTCATACCTTTAGCACCAAGACGTGCAATATACCAGGCAGAAATGCATTTAGCACGTCACAAAAGCCAGCTGGTACAGAGTAACACAATATATTGCCTCAGTAACTGAATGAACACCCTGGGAACTACGGTCCATCCAAGAACCTCATAATCTCGCCTCTTTCCATTCTCAGTAAAAGGTGGGGGTTTTCCTGCCCATGACTTCTCAGACAAGCATTCTGAACCATGTGCATATTAAATAAAAAGAATTCCAAACCAAGAGGAATTCGCCCAGAAGAGACTTTTTGACAGCATTCTGAAACAGGACAGTGCATCCATGAGAGAAGTGAATTACGTTCCTCGGTGCACTCCAGAGGGACACCTTAGATGCCACAGAGGCCAGAATGAGGTAGGTACAACATGAGGTACGTAAGCAGAAACAGCTTATGAAAGAATTACCGATGCCCAGCAAACACAATTTCTTCTTTTTTTCCACACTATTTTACTTTCTGTTCCAATTATTATCTTTCACATGTATATAGAAATTCTTCAAAATTAAAGTACTGTTATAAGTTTGATTTCTCTCTGAAACACAATAACGTTCTGAACTCTGCTCCCCACCATACTATAATCGCCTATTTTTGTAGGCGCAGTGGAATCCGCAGCTTTACCCAGCCCGGGCTCGCTGTCCCCCTGCCTCCCTGCACACCCAGAAGTTGCCAGTGACACCAAGATGCCCACGCTGCGCCCACGCACCAAGAGCTGCTCCCTCGCTCCTCCTCGCCCCGAGGCGCTCCCGCCTGAGGCTGTTCACACCCGGGTTCCGCCCTGCCTGGAGGAGGGCGATTTCCGACGGGCCTCTGGGACTGCGGCACCTGACACCCGGCGCGGGGACGGGCCGGAGCCATCGCTCACCGGGGACATTCGCCAGGGCGGCGGGGCCGGTGGAGCTCGTACCGGCCACGGCTCCCACCGCTCCCCGGCCCCGGAAGGGCAGCGCACGGCGCGGCGCCACCCCTTTCTCCCTCTGCCCGCAGGGACCGTTGGCGCAAAGCAGCGGGATGGAGGCGGGGAGGCAGCGTCCCGCCAGCTCCCTGCCTGGCGCTCCCCGCACCGGGGAAGGCGAGGGCTGCTTACCGGGTCTCGCATCCGTGTGAGCCACCCCGGCGGCCGGTGCTGGAGACAAAGCGAGGGGCGCTCGCCCCGCCGCGGCGGTGGGTTGTGGGGGAGGCAGGAGCGGCGGGGCGGCTTGGGCCTCCGCCGCCCGGCCTCTCCCCGCCGGCGCTCGGTGCCGCGGGCGCCCTGCGCAGGAGCGGCGGGCGGGACGGCAGGTGCCGGCGGCGAGGAGCCGAGCCGAGCTCCTTGCGCCGCCGCCACCGCCGCAGCCGGCCCGGGTTGCGGTGCGGTGCGAAGGGAGGAGCCTGCGCGGCGCCGGGGCGAGCGGCGTGGCCGCGTCCCGCTCTGCGCCGCGGGGGCCGCCGCAGCCCAACGGCCGCCAGCGCCGCCGCGCGCGCGGGGCCGCCGCTGCAGCCCAACGGCTGCGCGGGAGGGCGAGGGGCGAGCGGCGGAGGGCGAGCGAGGGCCGGGGCGGGGCTGGCAGCACGGCCCCTGCACCCCTGGCGTGCGTCCCCTCCCTGCTTCCCATGCTGGGCCCCGGTGGGCAGGCCAGCACCCCTCGCGTGCGCTGACCGAAACCTCGGGTGCGGCTGAGGGGAGACGCAATTGGTGCTGTTGCTGAGGAAGATGTCTATGGGTAAGGAAGGTTTAAATGAAGGTGTGGTATCCAGTATGGGGCTGGGGTACCTGGGAAGGAAGATCCCTGGAGAAGAGGGGACTTTCTCCCCTAAGGTAGGGGCTGCGGTAGGAAGAGGGGCTGTCAGCCTGGGCTCTGAAAGGGCAGGGCAGGGCAGGGCAGGGCAGTGGGCTGGCCCAGGTGTCTGCTGCGAATGTCGAGCCAACACAGCAGTTGCTCCGTGATAAGTCTGGATGACCTTCTTGGTGGCCTTCTGCTGAACTTCCTCAGCAGATATTGATCACACTGATGTCTTTCTTGGGGCCCAAACCTGGACACAGAAGTCTAGATGAGGTCTAAGATACTTGTATTCAGCTCATCCTGCAATCCCAGACATGGTAAGGACATTTCCTTTCCTTCTTCTCGTTGTGTGTGTGGCTGTTCTGGCTGCTTTGCATCCCATCCTTGAAGTACCAATTCTTAATGCTGGTGGCTGTCTTGGTTCTGGTTTTAATAACAGGAGGGACTGATTTGGGCAAACAACAAAAATCCTGTTTGTTGAAACACTTACCTTGCTATCTTGGTTTTTTCATGCAACACCCGTGATTCACTGAGTTTGGCTTAAAGTGTTACAAAATACAGGCTCCAGTCTATGCCATGGAGGGCTTTCTTTGTGCTCAATGGGGCTGTTGAATTAATCCCATCCTGAAGTAGAGGTGCAAGGGAGCTTTACAGTGCTGCAAGAATGTTGTCTGGGTACCTAACAATCTTCCTAGGGGTGGGTGTTTCTGTTGTCCAGACACTGGCCATTCCAGGCCTACACTGCTGATGGATGGCAATAGGAAGATAATGTCTGGTTGCAGGAAACTCTGTCAGGTGGAGATCCTATCTGATTAACATTTGGAAATTGTTGTCTTCCATTAGAGAACTTGGCAATCCTTTGTAAAACTCATTTAGGTCAGACGTGATGTTAGGTTGAACATTAGATTGATTTAGGTGTTCAGTATGGAAGACACTGAACGCTGTGCTCTTTCCCAAGCAGTGCTGGTCACTGACCTGAATGCTTTCCTGTAACCTCTTGCGATGTGTGCCTGTGGCTGGTTGTTCTTGTACAACACAGGAAGGCCTTCTAGAGAAGTTTGAACTTGATGTCCTGGAGTGCCCCTTGGTGGCTGCTTCCAAGCTGAGTGAGCTTGATCTCAGACCTGTGTCCACACAACCAGGTTTTGAGGCACTGCTAGATCCCCCTTCATTCATTTCCCAGAAAGGGCAGTCCCTGGTGTCTGCCCATTGCTTACTTCAGCTGGGCAGAGCCACGTGCTCTGGTTCATGGAGAATATGAGTTAGTTCATCATTAGCCCTGATGCTGTGTCAGGGAAAAGGCACCACTGGTGAGGGTAGGGGGAGTTTGGTGTTGTGATTCTCTGTTTTCTCTCCTTTCCATCGTATGTTCTGTGCAGCGTCACGCTGTCAGGTTCATCATGTGCATCTTGTCTGAATGTTAGGTGGTGCTGCAGAAGTGTAAGCGAGAGCAGAGGTGAAGGAACTTTGCTTCCAGGCAGTTGAAAGAGGCGCTCGCTTCCTCTTTACCTAAGCTGGAATTCTTGGTCCTGCTCCCCCTCCCTTCAGACCTAGAGCTTGTGTTTGTATTGGGTGTAATGTTTGATGTGCTCGTGTCAGGTCTGGCCTGCTACATTGTGGAGGTGGTCTAGCTCTGTTCTGAGTTCCCTGGGGTGGTCAGGACACTGGGGTTTATAAATAATGTGGTGTAGGTGAGAGTAGTCACTTTGTGTCTTGGACTGACAGCACCTACAGAAGTTGTGAGCTCACTTCTCAGTGGTACCACAGGCTGCTACAGGAGGTGTGTCACCTCCTTAGCATGTGTTTTCTATATGCATGAGACAAACATGTTTTGCTTATATATTGATCTCTATCATCCAGATTGCCATCAAATGAGTTTCATTTGCCACAAGTCTTGATTGAGGAATCTGGCTTTAAACCCCCACCCAGAAACACCCACAGTGCCTGAGCTACTATGTTTTGTCCTGTAATGGTGAACCCTCCTGAAATAATTCTGTAGGTGAACAAGTGGAACACACTAACATGGTGAATTGAGAAGCTAGCAGAGCTTGAAACAACTTCTTTACTGACAGTGCCAGAAATATTTCTTGAGATGGACACTGTCATTCTTTGTGTGCAGGCTGCTGCGATGTCTGCATCTCGTCAATCCTCAGTTGCCAGGTTATGAGCATGAGGGAAGTTGTGCTCTTTGTAGTAAGGGGGTTAACAAACTGTTAGTTAGTTAGGGTAAGCAAGTATCTGCATATGTCTTAACAATCAAGTGATTTCTCTCTGACATAGTTTTTCTGAGTTTGGATTCCTTGGCATTTGGGCCGTTAAATCCAACTACTGTCTGCTTAGATGCCAGCGTAGTCTAACAAGTAGTGGTCTTTTGGGTCTGTCAGTAATGTGAGGAAGGAAAAACATGTGAAACACTATCAAGAGGATAGATGATTTAATTTTAAAAAGATCAATACTACTTCTACAGAGAAATTAGTATCTCCCGTTTTGGGTTTTCATGGGATAACACCTCTGTCTCGGATGAAATATGTGGTATTTATCTACAAGGGAAGTGAAAATTAAATCTTAGTTGTAGCAAAATCAGTCTTATAAAAGCTAAAATTTTCCAAAATAGGTGATCACTTAAATGTTCCTTCTAATATGTTTGTATGTTTGGTGATCATCCCTATGTACCTCAACTTCCTCAGAGAGACTGCAGTCACCAGAATGATATAACACCACAGAAAACAATATAAGAAAATTGCAAACCAATTGACAGTGACTTGTAAACACCCATACCAATCCCTGTATCCTTATTCTACTGCTAAATAGAAATCTTTGGGAATTTTAATGGATGAATGAATTCCCTGTGTGAAGTTTTAAGGGTGTTTTCTTATTAGTTCAATGATTTTCCAATACATTTTCTCAGTTGCATCAAGGCCCCAGATGAAATCAAGATGTCCCCAAGCAGGAAAATGCTCAAGGTAAATGAGATTAGCAATCCGAGGAAGTAGTTTTGCCATGTCTTTTGGATCTGCAAATTTGTCTCGTCCACCGCTCCAAACAGCAATTGGTATGCCTATCTTCTCAATCTTGTATGCAGGAGGAGTAGACTGTAAGAAAAGGAGGAGACCTGAGTGAATGCTGTTGCATCAGAAGTTGTGTTTAGAGAAAAGACTCTGTGCAAGCATCTCTCTTTCCCTATTGCACTCACTGCAGTAAACCAGTAAGCAAGAAGACCACCCTCTCAGTGTCGATTTCCCAAACCCCGTTCCCTGTTGTCCATGAAAAGGAATGATCCATTAAATTCCTGTGTCTTTTCTTAATGCATGTCTGTGAGTTGTCCTGCAGTCTGACACCTACTTGTGCCCCTTGGAGGTGGAGATATGGAAAGAGCAGTGTCTGTGTTTATCATGCAAGGACTGCAGAGTTGTTGTTCATGTGTGTCCCATTTTTGGCTTATGTAGGGTCCTCTTCATGCATTCATAGGGCATTGAGTGAAAAACTTCTAGCTGTACTGTTCTAGTCTTCACTTGGCACTCTATGTTACAGTGTAGTCCATGAGCATACTTCTCTTGCCCATCATCACAGACAAAATCAAAGAAACATGGAAGAGTAGAATAGGGATCTTCTGAGACCTAAGTCAAATGACTTAATGCAGGATGTTTTTTTTTTTTTTTGTCTACAGGGCGGTAAGGGACCATAAACAAGATGCTTTACATTGACCCCTATGACCTTAGGAGTCTGCTGTTTTTCTCACTGACTGTTCTTTTGGGTAGTTTCCTAACCACACAATGTTTTGGGAATAGAACATTGCCCATTCCAAAATTTAAAAGTCAGTACTTAAAGACTATATGTGTGTATGGAAGGTATCAGAGAAATCTTTGGAGTCTTTCTCCACCTGCAAAATGTGTCACCCATAAAATAACCTGCCGTGACTCGGAAAAGATCATGACAAGTCAACTGATCTGATCAAATCTCAAAAAGCTGTCAGGCAAGTTATCAGTGTTGCAGGTGGGGCACAGCATTTCTGAGAGTTGCCTGAGCAGTAGCCAAAGCTCCTAGTGACCAGGTTTTTTCTGTTTCCTTTTTTTGGGACAGGATACATTAGTTCACCACAGCAGTTGTCCCCACTGTTCTGTACTCAATCATCCTTTATCCTTTCTGTTTTATTTTTGCAGTAAGTAGCTTCCCAAAACCAAAGTATGCATTTCCACTGTGTTGTGGTTTGTTTTTTTTTTTTTTTTTTTGTTTGTTTTGTTTTGTTTTTCCCCTACCAGTCTATGGTAAATGAAAGGCAGACTTTGAGGATATCTGTGGAAGTGAAGAGCTTCATATTCATCCAGTTCAAGGACCTGGGTGTGTCTCTTAGCCTTTTGGGAATGGCAGGTAAATTGACATGTTGTTGGACACATCTCTGCATCAGTAGGGGAGGCAAAACTTCTCTTAGCTGTCTGCAAGGATCTGTCTATGCCTTGTCTGTGAGTAGACTTTTACACTTATAAGTATTAGACTTCAGTAAAACATTACCTCAGACCAATCTCCTTCTTTCTGTAATGCTCAAGGTGCTAAAATCTGAATTTTTTCTATTCTTATTTTTGCCAGGACCCAAGGATGGGTTCTCAGGGAAAGCGTATTGCCTTACCTGGTTGTATTTCTTCATGTTTTCCTTAGAGCCATAGTCATAAGCTTGAAATCGGTCTGCACGTGTTAGCTATTAATATTGTAACAAAGACAAACAAAAAGAAAGTGTTAAGGGAGAGAGTAGAGTGCAGAAGTTGTTTTCTTGCCTGTGATTGAAGGCAAGGCTTAGGCAGTGGATAGGCTCCCAGGGGTACTGAGGATGGATCATAGGGTGAGCGATTTCATTGCTTTTTTCCCCTTGCTAACATTCTGTCCTGATCCTCAGCTGACACCCTTGGTATGTTTTGTTAGTAAAATTCTGCTTGAATGCCTTAGCTATAGTTGGGGTCCCTGTTTGTCACATGAAGGTAAGCAGAAGAGGCAATTCCCCACTTTGCCGCTTGTGCCAGCAGAAACATTTTTGTGGTTAACCAGCTTTGGGAGATGATCCAGGCTGCAATTAATCCTCTGGGAGAAAAGGTTTAACCTGCATTACTTCTTTTTCTGGCTCATCCCCAGGTTCCTCAAATTTCCACTACACTCCTACTACCTGCCAAGTGCCTAGACCATGCTTGCATTCTCTTCTGCAGCTTTCAAGGCAAATGTCTTCATAAATAAAAATGAGGGCTGGAAGACACTGAGCCCAACGTGCAGAGAGGCCTGATGTGCCCTGGGGAAACCTCAGTGCCTGATACCAGAGGGACAATTCAGGCAATGGTAATGGTCTGGTGAGGTCATGGGAAAGGGTGCTCCTTCTGTGCGAGGTGCTCACAGCAGCACGTGAGAAGGTGTGAGGGGAAGTTTCCCAGATCCACCACATCTGGACTTCCCTGTAGGCTATCAGTTGTATAAAAAGCAACAGTAAGAGTCTGTTTATATGTTAGTATGCAGTTATACCTGATGCCAATGAATAAAGTTTTGTACTGATATTCCAGCAGGATAATGTCCTATGTATGTATCTATTCGACTCTGGAGAGAAAGCAGAAGTGTTATAAAGGCAGTGATCCAGTGCTGTGACATAATAAAGCTGTGAAGGACCTGCTGTTGTGTTAAAAACCCATTTTAATAGAATATTCTTCAAAAATCAAAAAGAATGTTAAGGAGACACTCACAAATCTATGAGTTTACAGTAGGAAGGAGTATGTATAATTTTGTCCCTTTGGGAGGGTCTTTCTCACATTAGTACTCAGTCATATGGAAAACACCTTTTGGGGAGTGTGTATGGCCTTTCTTTTTCCCAGTTTCTACTGTTTATCTGATGCTTTTAAATAGTGCTGTGCTTAACTGGTAGAGGAGGATTGTTATTAGACTGTTTGCTAGAGTATAATGAGTCTGTATGTGTGGGAGCTTTTTATGGGAACACTTGTTAAATAGTCTGAATATGAGAGATCAAAGGCCACTGGAGATCAGACATGTGGAAGGTTGCAACAAAAAAAGATGGCAGCCAGAGTAAAGGAATGAGATCTTGCTGTTGAGAGAAGTGTGAAGAAACAGCTTTGAGTTTTGACTGGAAATGTTTTGATGTGTAGCGACCAAAAAGAAACAATCCCTTATGTTCATATGATCTGAATGTCTTCCTGTTTAGGAAGGAAAATATGAATTGTTCAAAAGAAGAAAGATTTTTCTTCATCTATTTGTCCATTTTAAAAAGCTTTGGTAACTGTTCAACTTTTCTTTGGCTTAGCTCCAAAAGAGGGGACACTGAGGGACATCATTGCAAGATGGGACCATTCTGAATTCAGCCTTTCTTCCTTGTGTGATTTGAATGTGTCAGGTGGTATATCTCATCATTAACTGAGGTCCTAGTTGGCATTACTTGAAAACCTCAACACATTTCTCTATGTCCCTGCAACTGTATATAGATACAAGGCAGAAAATACGTTTTGCTTCAAAATTACTGTAGTTTTATTTGTATTAAGGTGTCCTTGGACATGCTTACCATGTTCAGATTTTGTATCCTGGTCCCAGCTATGTAGCACATGATATTGCCACAAACTTTTTCCATGGATCTGCAGATCTGTGTTAGAGGCCGTTTCAGCAGTTCATTTTGCTGAAGAGCTCCTTTGCAGCCAAGTAGTAACTGAAGGGAGGAAAAGTGTAAAACTTTTTTTTTTACCTTGTTGAAGGATTATTTAATGCAGAAAATGGTCACTCCTTCTTCTCTAATATCCTTGCCTCTCAGCTAAGATTGCCAAAAGTGCTTTCTATCCCAGTATCCTTTAAAATGTGTTCTTCTCAAGAGCACACCACATGTTCTTTCTGCTTCTTATTACTAGGCATGAGTCTCGGAAGTCACTACCCATCTGATTTTAGTCCACTGACCTTGGTGAGAAAGGGCAGTTGGCTGGATGCATGACTGCAGAGTATAGGAAATCCCTTTTTGCCCTAACATTTCTTCCAGGCAAGTGCACAAACTGTAGTGTTACTATTACTACCAAGTAAAGAGGGAGCAGACATGAGAAGGATGTAGAACTGGATGCTCTATAGTCACATAATTGTTACAGCTTGGACAGAAAGAGGATGTCCTCCTGCACACTTTGACATAAAGTATATCGTGCAGGATTTCCACCATTCACACCAAATTCTATTAAATTGACAAATTCTGGTGTGAAAGAGGTATTTCCCTTTAAGTTTCCTTTATAATTTTACAAGTAAATATTTCACAAGCATAAATGAACTGCACATCTAATAAAATTAAGGTATGAAATATCTTATTTGTAGTTTTCTACTAGTGCTTAAGCCTAGATTTAGTAGACTGTTAGGCTCCTTTTCCAACATTTTTGAGCTCCCTTCAAAAATATTGAACAAATAATGATGAAAGTATGTCTGCTATCTTAAAGAAGTTACAAAAGAGATACCGCATCAAGCCTTGCATCTTAGCTCTGTGGAAAGTCTGAAGTCCACCAGCACTATCAGTGATCTGATACACTGAATTCATTCTTAAGTCATCACCCCATCAAAATCAGTTCAGGTTGAGTGAGTCTGGTAGAGCCAAAGCAGACAATTTTGTCTTTTAGAAAGAGGAATGACATACCCTGATCAGTGACTGGGGAAGATGTGTCAATGTTACTAGAGGACTGGTGGCATATGTGATTGTGGCTACTGGTCCCAAAGCAAAGAACACTTTAACCCTTCGAGCCAATTCAGGATAAGTAGAAAATGCTATGAAGCCTGCAAACACAGAAGACACAAATTAAGTTATTGAAGAGATCTCCACAGATCAAATAAATAAAAAAACAGTAGGCAGCAAAGAAGTGAGACTAGATTAGCAGCCCATCTGATGTCCAGATGTGAGACAGAGTTCATTCTAAGGATACAGGTTCCTTAGAGCATAACCAGATAGTGATTTTCTTAGAACTGACAATTTTGTGTTAGGCCATTTTTTGGGGAGAAGATGCATTAATCTGATTTTCTTAATTCAGATTCCTTCTAAAGTTCCCCAAAATCTAATAAAATAATGATTTTTTTTCAGCTTGCAGTCTCTAAAAGACTATATGTTCATGCTGGCATGCAGTAATACAATAATTATCTGAAGAGTAAGAGCAGAATTTTTACTTGTAACTAAGTGAAAACTTGGGTGAGAATGAATGCACACATAAAAGAAGAGTAGAAGGAAGGGTGGAAGGGTGGAAGGAAGGGTGCAAGGAAGGAAAAGCAAAAAGGGTGCACCCCGTCCTGTTTTCTGAACATGTCTAAATTTCTCCACTGATGGATTTGGTGAGAACTTTAACTGGTTGCCTAAAACATAGGTATCTAAAGACAAAGAAGGTGATATCTTGGTCTGAATGATTTGTTCTGCAAAAAGACCCTCAGAATGCATATGTGAGAAGAAAGGGAAATAATTGTCAAAAATGGGGCTATGTGCTTCTTCCCCCCATTTTCTCCTGTTTCTGAATTTATTTTCGTAAAAGGGTAATGGCACACCATGGCATAAACCTCAATATCTATTCATAGATATTATGTATAAATCATAAATACTAACATTACCTGCTGTTGAGCCTTCAGAGTGACCAACATAGTATACATCCTTCTGTCCAGTTTTATTCATGATGAAGTACAGTTCCGCTGGAATATCGTATTTACCTATTTCATCGAAGCTACAGGGGAGAAACAAAAAACTAGCAGACAATTTGACTATCACAGTGTGAGTTACTGAATGTCAGTTTTGTGTCTTGCACCAAGCAGATCCCATTGAAAGATGAGGTTGCATGCTTTGTCTGCATTCTTGCTTGAGTTGGGGAAGGGGGTAGAGGGATGCAGCTATACTGTCAGGCTGCCTGATGCCTTGGGCTCTCTGCAGAGGAGGTGTCAGTTTTGTCCATTAGCTGAGGCTCTTGCAGAAGTGAATTTAATCATTGCTCTCACCAGCATGGGTTACAAAAAATATTTCTGCCTCAGTTAACATCAGTTGTGATAGATCAGATTTCTAAACTGAGCTGAGCAGTCTCCTCTCCTGTCTGCACTTGGGACACAGTATCTGGTGGGATACTTCAAGGTTACAGGTGTCTCACAGTTTTGGAAGTCTTTTCCCCAAAGAAACCAGCACTGGGTATGGACGAAGGTGACCTGTATACTTCCAGCTTTGCTTCTGTATGTGCTGATTCCAGAAGGGCTTGTCCAGATCATGTAGCCAAGCCCTTCTTATGACCCCCTTGACACACCCAGAAGTGCCTGCACGTGGGAAAAGGAGTTGGTATAGTCTCCTTGGATGTTGCATGTCCCACCTGAAATCAGATTATATGAAAACCAGTAGGGTTTTCATATAATCCAGAAGGGGATTTTCTCGTATAACCAGAAGGGGAAAGGTTCTCCATCCCAATATTAACTGCTCAATCTTGCTAGTCCCCTGTAAGTTGCTTTCTTCAGTAATTCTTTCTCCATGGAGTACCTGAACTGCCAGAACTCTTTCTGGCAGGGCTTAAGGGTCTTGTGTTTTAAAGACCAGGTATTTCCTCTGCTGTTTCCCAACCAGACGTCATAGCCGGCATCTGCGAGGATGAAGCCCAGGCTGTTGTTGGGCAGGTTAGAAATCCAATGAATAGAATCTCCTAAAGTACCATGGTGTAGCAAGACTGCAGGCTTTTTCTCTGAAAAAGAAGAGTGTTTTCTTATGCTGTAGTAGTAAGTAATGTGTAGTTAAAACTGGGGTGCAGAGTCTGGTTTTGCAGGAGTTTTTTAACCTATATACAGAATTCAGGCCACATTCCTGACGAGGCGCTCTTGCTGAGATGGAAAGGTGTGGAACATGCCATTGCATGTGCAAAGGGGAAAGGTGGGGAACCCATGTAAAAGTTGGCTCTCAGACCTTCTTTATGTCCTGTGCTGTGTCATACCTGTATTTTGGCTGTTCCTCCCAGCAGGAATTCTGAAAACACCAAGAATGTATCCATCCTCTGTGGTAACTTGATATTCCTCACTGGGGTATCCATGATATCTGATGATTTCACTCTGTGGGAAATCAAAGATTTTGTTAACAAGTATTTACAGTGTAGAGATGGGTGGGGAAGTGTCTAGAGGCTGCTTCTGTCCAGTAATGTGAAGCTAGCCAAGAATGTGCCAGGAAGATGAATGTGATAATGTATTGCTGGCTTTTTCTCTACTGCTCTGTGTTGTACTGGTAGGAAGGGACCCAAAAGACATTCCTGCAGAACAACAAAATCCATGCCTCTCTCTTTTGGGGATGGTTAGATAATAAGCTGTAACATAACCATGGAGGCTGGAGGAAGAAAACAAGAGTGAGAGCAGTTGAGCTGTGTTTGTGTGATGTGGTTTGTGTATACTCTTTAATGCTGTATCTCTCGAATTGAAATATCAAGAGCTGCAATTGCTCAGGTATAAGCACCTAGTTATACTTGGAGCTTTCCTGACATACTCCATTTTGCTTAGGTTTTGGCTGCATAGTAATTGCTGTAGAAGTGGTATCTGAGCATTACACAGGCTTGTAAGAGTAGCAGGATGACAGAGTTCAACTGTGCAGTAAATGAGACTGTTACTGGGCCCTGCAGCTTTGTTCTATGTGCTGTCATGTGTTAGGACTGTCTTGACAGTAGCTTTTCCCTGAGCATCCCAGTGCTCTCCACCACTTTTCCTGGATACCTCTTTGTTCTTTTAGACTTCAGGGATGATGCTAATAAATGGCTCTGGTAAACCCATCCTCCTTTAGAGGGTAACCAAGGTGAAAAGTATGGATATGGGCTGCTCAGTGATGGTAGTGCAAGGCCTCTGGCCACAGGGACCACGGCTGAGAATAAGTACTACTGAGCTTGTGAAAAGATACATCAAAGTCTTCTTCAGACCTGCTTAGGTGGTAGTTGTCTGGTATCTGACCCCCAATTATGGGACAAAGCAGAACTGTATTGAGTCACTAACCTTTTGGGAGATAATTTGTCATGTTTTGCAAGGCTGATACACATCATACTTTTCTACAGATTAAATATGTAGCAGTATCTGTATAAGTCAGTGTCAAAAGCTATGGGTTTTGGTCCATAATGAATCCTTTCTTGCCAAAGTGTGGTTAGGCAAGCCAGGTAGGGTGGGTCTCCTAATACAGACTCACTCACAGCACCACCTATTATAGACTTGCCACTATTGTGAGGAAATCTTTGGTGATTCAGAGCAAGGGGTCTTGGATTACTTTGTGTTGTGAGAATCTGCTGTTTGAGGAAGGGGTTCAATCTCCCTTGCCATTGTACTGAACAAACATTGTTACAGAAAGGGAAGACCTTGCTTCCCTTGAGACTAGAAACCAGCCTTTGCCTCCACTGCAAAGGGATTTTCTGTTGCAGCTCTGACTTTTTGGACCATTAAAATTTCTTCTAGGCTGGTACTCCCTATCATAGTGATGGAGTGACTACTTTGAAAGGGCCCTACTTTTAGTATCCTGCCAGGGACTGTTAGTAATGGGGTAGCAGTAGTGGTACATGGAGAGACACTTTAGAAAGAAAGGGAGAGAAGGTAACCCAACTTACAACGTTCATAAAGCATTCAGGGTTGTAAGTCTTCCTGTACTGGCTTGTGTCTGAATTCAGAGTGGAAAGTGTTGTAAATCCTGCTGAAAAGGCAATTCCTTGGGAGCAGAGCAGCACAAGGAGGTACCACATCTTGGGGCTGTATAAAAGAGCACATGAAGGGGTGTTTGTGTTAGGAAGAGAGTGCTGTGGAATTCCACAGGAAGACCTAAGTGTGAAGTCTCCTGAAGGTTGCCTAAGGTCTGTTCCCCAAGGGTCTGCTAGAATAAGTACCTGTGTGAGATAAGGACTGTCCACAGCTCACCCTATTTAACAGGGGCCAGGCATGAGTCAAAGGCTTCACAAGGATATGGAATCAACCTGGGGGAATGTGCTTGTATGATATCGGTCATAGTTTGTGCCATGAGTTCTTTCCTTTCTCTCTCACCTTCCTATTTTAAATATGTGTTTTGGCCACCTGGAGGAAAGTCTGCATCTTCATGGTTTCTAGGGATTGACTGATGGTCACAGGGAAGCTTTTCTGAATAGAAATTGTAGAATGCAGTCCATCTAGTGAGTGTCCTGCTTTTTGGCTGTAGCCACCATTGTAATCAACATAGAGGAAACAGACAAGTCATAAAACCAGAGTATATTATCTAACGTATCATGGGGAAGATTTTTAAGATGGGGAGCCTGGAAAAGATAGCAAAAAGGTTTGTTTTCTCTAAACTTCTTAATGAGGGAGGGTGTTCTCAATTCTTCTAATTTTTGGTTAAAGCTATCATACCCCTTGAGTCACTAGAACATTTGAATTAAACTAAAAATGGGATATACCCTTGATCTTAATATTGGCGTCCAAAATCACTCTAGTTGATCTACTTGGTAGGAGAATACTTCCATTATTCTGTCAATAGAACAGAAATCCTCCCACATGTTTGCTCTGGAAGCACAGCTTTATAGTAGATCCTCCACTGCTTTCTGCTGTTTTATTCAGTTCAAACAGAAGTAAAACATGTTCCCCTATTTCTGCATGTGGAACATCATTTGGGAATAAAACTGAAAAGTTCAGCTTAAGTCACAGTTTGTTTTTGTACTACAGGTGAGGCAACAGGGTAGCTAAATTGTTCCCATTTTTAGAGTATACTTTTTTATATACACTATATTGTCACCTGGTTTAGCTGGCATATTTTAAGGCACTTCCAGATGAATGCTTGTAAACTAGATTGTGCCAATTAACTCCAAGGCTTGGCACGCACTCTCCCATTAATTTCAATGTCAAAGTCTTGACTGTAGGAGCCTTGAACAGCAATCTATCCTTTATATGTAATGAAACAATGTCAAAGTGCAGCATTTACCATGGCAAACTGGAATTAACAGAACTATTTAATGAAAAAAAAAAAAAAAAAAGGTAAAGGAAGGTACCTGAAAGTTACATTCAAAAGACCATTTCTGGAGACTTTTGATATTTAATGCAAATAAGCTTTAAACCTTCTAGAAATTCATCAGTGTACTCTTGAGAGAGTCATATTTTTTTCACATGCACTGTAAATGGGATAGAAAGGCACCAGGGTAGTTAATGAAGCTAACAGATGTCAGAATCTCCTCGTTAACTTGCAAGGAAAGCTTAAATGCATTTGGAACTATGAAAGCAAAATGTCCAATTTATGTACATGCTTTCAATACTGAGTTTTTTATGCATCCACAGTAAAAAACCTCAGTAACTAGAATAAAATGAAACCATCAGTTGCTTTTTTCACTTTTGCGCAGTTCTTCCTTTCCTCAGCTTTAGCAAACATGCACTTTGATGCATATCATGAGGCTTGTAAATCGGAAGGGATGCAGGTTGTCTATGTTGACAAGCAACTGCACAAAAGCAAGGCTGCATATCATGAGGCTTGTAAATCGGAAGGGATGCAGGTGGTCTATGTTGACAAGCAACTGCACAAAAGCAAGGCTGCACATCTTTATGGAGAAAGGCAATAGAGAAAGAGACCACGAACACATATGTGCAAGCAACTTACCTCTGCTTTGACTGCCTTGCTCGTATCTTCTGCTGCAGTTCCTAGTCTGTCTCCACTAGCAGACTCATTCACTGGCAGAAACCTGAACCAATAAAAGGAGAAGCAGTAGAGTGCTGTGTGATGCCTGCACATATATGAGTGCTGGTTTGTCAGTATTTAAGGAGTGGAGTTATTTTATGATAAACAGCACCGTTGCATGACATTCTGAAAGACCAGATTGCACCATGGAGCAGGAGAGGTAAAGAGGCATCTAACCTGTAATTAGAGTATTTAACAGGGACCTGGGGGATTCTTGTTCCCTGAGGCTGTGACAGATTTTGATCTGTACCACTGCTTACCTTGAGGAGTGCTGTGACAACATTGTTTTGGGACGAAGAAGAGAAAGAGTCTAGCTTTTTTCAGCACTTTCTACCTATGAATGTGGTCTCTGCTGCTATGGTTTGTACAGAAGCTGACATGGTCACCGGTTCCACAGCTGTCACTTGTTTTCTGAGCTGCTGTTTACAGATTGCTCAGTGACAATTCTTCTTTGTTAGGTAATCTTAGAATAAAAATACAAGTGATTTGAAGATGTGAATTTAGCATCACACACATATTCCTAAATTTGTTGTTCAGTGAACACCACACCAGCAAAGACCAGTTTTCCCTGAATTAGTCTGCTTCTGTAGAGATTCTCAAGTTTTGAATTAAGTTTGAAAACATTGTGTGAACTTTGACCCAGAGAGCATGCTAGCAAGATTTCTTGCTTCTTCCAAGCCATTTCCATGAACTCTGTGAAAACACAGTATGTTTGGATACCTTTGCCTAACCACTGAATTAATTGTAGTCAGCCCAGGGGCTCAGTCCTTACTGAAACTGGCCTGGTGCCCTGGTGCAGCGAATTCTCTGCAATGTGGGTGCTAATCATCTGTCTTCTTGTGTGGGCAAACGGAGTGAAGTAAGTCTTCGTTAGTAAACAGAACTTGAGAGTCACCACAGAAACAATTCTGATTTATAAAGTAGAATGCAGTCTGTGGAAAAGACAAAAAAGTGATTTCTCAATGAAAAACATTATAGCTCAGCAAGTCTGATACCCTTGCTTAGTGGGAGATACAGAAGTCTTTTCTCTGCTGTGTTGCCAGCTAACATCATACTACATTTTTTTGTTCTGTAGAATTGTCAGCCTGGAATGATCTGCAACATTTAATCTAGTTTCACCTCATGCCAGCATATGGAATGTATGATAATTTTTCTGATATTGTTAGTAGGAATTGAGTAAAGAACAAAAGATAGGTAAACCCACCTTAATAGGGAAAAGAGACAATGAAAGTAATGCATATAAAAAGAGCATAGGAAACACAAAACTGAAAAGGTATACAGAAACTTCCTGGGATGTGCTGTCCTTACTTAGATAATCATTCCAGCTGAGATAGTAAGTATTCTGTTTTGAAAGTACTGGAATAAAACTTTGATGCCCAGGTGGTCTGGCCTATATAGCATGAGGTGCCCAAGTCTGTCTTAACCCCCAATGTCTGCCAGCTTTCTCTTAGGTACTCCCTGAGGTATCCTGTGCCTCTAAACAAATATCTGATGATCTGCAGGCTTGGAGGGCGAAGACAAAGGGGAATATGTTCGTTCCTTTCTCCTTTGCAAACCCTGTAAAATACAAAAGTAGTGTTTCATTTAAGGAAATGGTTTGTATATGTTCTTCCTTTTGTCTTGGAACCCTATTCCTATTCCCACATACTTCTGTGGTTCTTATCAATTTTCTCCATGCATTTGCCAGATGTTTACCTATTGTTTGAGCAGGCAGGTATGGGAAAGAAGCCATCTGTTTATCAAATGCTTCAGTCTGCTGAGGCATCTCCCAGTCACTATGCTACTTGGCCAATTTTAAATTAAGAGTTACCATATAGGATAGCACTGATCGTGAAAATGCATACATGTGTCAGCAGGTTTGTGCAAATGTACAGCCCACTGACTTTTACAGGACTATTGTGTTCCACATTATGCAGTACTGCCTGTGAACTGATTATGGGGAACAGGATCCTGGGCAGATCAGGATCAGCCTGTATGAATGATGAGCTGCTGGAGCTTAGTCACGGAATGGGCCGAAACAGAAATAACCCAGTAGTGACCATGTGAGCAGCAGGAGGCAAGGGAAGGGTTGGGAAGTCCTGTGTTTTTCATGTGGCATCAGTGATTTACTGAGTTCAGTTTAAAATGTTATAAAATACGGGCTCTGGTCCGTGCCATGGAGGGGTTTTTTTATGCTCAGAGGGGTTGTTGACTTAATCCTGTCCTGAAGCAGAGGTGTAGACCCTTACAGTGCTACAGGGATGTTGTCTGAGTAGCTAACAATCTTCTGGAGGGAAGTGGTAAGGGGTGGGTGTTGCTTTTGTCCAGACACCTGCCATTCCAGGACTGCTTTTCTAGGGAATACACATTTCTGAGGACTGTTATGCACACAGAACTCCAGCAGGCCACAGATTGCTTTCCTGAGAGTAGTGTAACTCACGACATTTGGAACAATATCATCTAGAGTACTTGGAAATTAAAGAGATAAATGATCTTCCATTTATTTTATTGAATGTGCTGTTCAGAAGTTTAATTGATATTTAGTTTAAAAATGAGTTACCCTTATTGTCTCTCTGGTGAAGGCCTTTCTGACAAACTCTTAGTCCACTTCTGGCTCACATGAAACTTTTGAAGTGTTGTTAAATTCTTTTAGGAAGTAAGAATCACATTTCCTACACAGATGGAGTAGGTGACAGTTTGCCCATACATTGAGTCTTGGCACCTTTTGGAGAAAAAAGTTTTATTCAACAAAAAAAGATTAAAATCTTCAGGATCTGAATCCTCATTTATAAGCATGTTAAAGAACACTAAAGCAATATGTGAAGCAGAAATAAACCTGTGACTATATAAATTTGCATGAGTTTAATACCTCACCATGATTGGGCTGCTTATATGTTTTCCAGCTGAAGCTCTGACCAAAGTAGTTAATGTGATTTTCAAGATGGCTTGAGATGTGTTGCTGGATTAAATGGTAATTTACACTGTCTTGGGAAAGCTGTTGCCTGAAGCTATCACTGTGCTTTGTGGAGGAGGGGTTTTTCTGATTTTTTTTTTTTTTTTTTGAATACTTTTCCATGTTCCCATGCATTTATATATTTGTATTAGGACAGAATTAAGTAAATTACTAAGTTGTTATATGTAACAGCTGAGTGATTTGAAGTTTCTTTCAACAAGTTGTAGTTTATAAATTCCAACAACCTGGTTAGTTAATGTAGGAGGATATCCATTCCTTAGGATCTTGATGTGAAGAAATAGTGGCAAGGAATACCTTTTTACCTTTGAGATGTTACTCACTCCTCCATGTCTTTAGGCCAACAGAATACTCACTGGATACTGAAAGATCAGTCTGTTGGGAGGATCCAATATCTACCAATATTGGTAGGTGTAGTGTACATTGCTGTTACAAGCCAACCTAATTTTCTTTAGGTAAACAACGATGGAAAGTGTTAGAACTGGTGCCAGAAAACTAACACTATGGTCAGTGGTGCTATACTACTTTAACCAGAGGAGGATAGAGACAGTATAAGTAATTTTATATGGTCGTCCACCTCACTGGAGAATAAATATTATTACTTATTTTAAAATATGCTGGAAATACAGGAAATGTGAATTTAAACTATAAAGGGAAAAGCTATTTTGGGGTATCTGCAGATGCTTGAAATACGCATGTCCTACTCAGAAAGACTGTCTGAGTGTAGTACAGAAATATTATCAACATCTTGTCCTTGGAGACGTGAACACGCAAAGGGGATGGAAACATCAACAATAATTCTCTTCCCAAGGAAGCTCTAATGCAATTAACATATAAAATTAGCAGGTTAAACATGAGTCATATTAATTGTTTGGGCTGGGCTAGGAAGAGAAGGCTGAGTAAAAGGTGATGAAAGCAGCCGGCCTATTTAATGAGAGACTGAAGATAATTATACTGGGAACACTCGTTAAAGGTGTGGGATCTAGTTGCTTCTCTTTTCCCAGTAGGCGTCTTGAGGTGTTCCTGCAGAGGGGCTGGAATATGTTTTAGTCAGAAGTAGCTTGGGTGGCAAACTAGCCATAGTTACTTGTTTCAAGTTTCAGGTTTCATGCTTTTTTTTTAATTTTTCACCCTCCCTTTCTTCACTTGTGAAACTGCCTTCCTCTCTCTTTCCCTCCTCTCCTCCTCAGCCTGTTTTGCTACTTTCCTTTTTAGGTGACTGGAGGCTGTTATTGCAAAAATGACAAAAGAAAATGCTTCTGTGTTGCAACTTGTTCTGTCAGTTTCCTGTGAGCTGCTATTCTCACATTTATCTCCTTGGGTTTGGTTCTGAAGACAATTGTTTTATTCTACCAAGTAGAAAGCACTTAAAGGAAATGTAGCTTAAGAAAGAGTGATACTTTTAAGTTAAATATTAACCAGATTCAAACAAGCTCAAGAGCATTTCGAGTGAGGTTAACTTGTTGGGCTGGTGAACAAGAACGAACTCAAGCAGTGAAGAATAGTCATGGGGATACTCTATTCTGAGGTATGTGACCATTTTCCGCACAGTAACCGAAGCTATTGAAGATATGGATATTCACAGGTTTTGGTTTGTTCCCTTCGCAGCCCCCTGTACACAGGCTTATACAGATCTGGAAGTTCTTTTCCTTTGGAAATGTTGTACTTTCAGCTATTACAAATTGATAGAAGTGCTGTTTATAGGAGTAAAGAAAATGCAATAACCAGTGTAATTATTGTGACTTCACAGAGAAAGTATGTGTTTGGTTCAAGCAACAAACAGATTTGCAAAATGCAAGTAACTTGTTAGATTATGTTGAAAATAGATAATAAAGCTAATGCCTAAGGAAACATTACCCCCCACTGCATAATTGTTTTAGGAATGTGATTTTTTTTTTCAGCTCTTATCTTTATGGATTTGTCCCCAGACCATGGTCCATTTAGCATACCCCTAGATTTTAGCATAAATGCTACTTAAACATATGCATTATTTTATAAACTTTCCATTTGTACGATTGGGAACAAATTAAGATTTTGGTCCTTTTTGACTGAATACAGTGGATTGCACTGCCAATTCTTTTGCTGGAGATAGCATTACATAGCTGTTCCTTTACAAGCTTACGTTTCTATGCTGAAAGCCACCCTTTTATTTTTAAACAGGCTATTCAATGAAATCAAATTTCTTCTCCTCTTTCAGTATTACAGGGAACTTGAATCTGTGCATTCATAAGGTGATCGGCTGGGTAGACTGCACCTTATTCTGAAAGGATTTGTTGCCTCTCTCCAGATCTACCACTCTGAGATAGTATTGTACGAGAAGCTAGTGTCATCTAACTTAATTAAAGTGGTGTTTAGATAATGTTCAAATGCTGTCCGTATCTTCCACGTTTATTAGTTGCTATTTTCATATACATTAGTTCTCTTCCTTTAACAATTTTGCGTGAGTTATAGTTTTCCAGATAAAGTATTGTTCATTTATACAGGATAGAAATCTAGAGAAGTTCAAATAAGAAAGTATGGTTTGGATACTAGTGCATTCCTCAGCATCACAAACATGATTTAGACTTTCCTGTTTAGTTCATAGCATGCCTTTGGATGAATTTGAATGTACAGGAAGAGTCTATGGATTGGTTCAGAATATCTGTACGTTATGAAATGACTCCCTTTTGTCTAAACAACTGCAAAGTGTTGATGTAATTTAGGCAATCCTTTGCAGCTCTCAAAGGAAGAAGCAATTATAATCTAAAATTGCTCTCCCAGTTGCAAGACCAGCTTTATTTTAGCCTCCTTTCTATTGGCTGAATGCTTTGTCCTTATTGCTATGCTTTAAACCTTTATTTCATGTGGTAGAACTTGCTGAATTGCTCATGGCTTATCACTACTGCAGCAAAGCTAAGCAGAAGGAGATGCAAGAAGCTCTGAAAACAAGTAGACAAATTCATATGTGGCAGTTTATCTGGATCTGGGTAAAATATCAGGTCCTGATTTCAATTACATGGCACACAATTGATTAAAAAAAAAAAATAAAAATCAGTTGTGTAGTCTTTCTTCCTTACAGTGAAAGTTTTTTTTACTTTTTTTTGCACGCTATATCTGGTGATCTTACACTGTGATCTCAGCTGTGAAAACCATTGCCTGTCTTGTGACTACTTCTCACCTTTCCCAAAGTCTCAGATACTAAACAATTAAATCATCTTCTGAAGGGCTTGTAGAAGAAGTATTGTAGAAACAGAGATTCTAACTTAACTGTAGAAGTTTTTCTTTAAAATTGCATATTCAATTTTCCTTTGAGCACATGAATTGCATGAACGTTACTCAGCCATTGGCATATTTAATCTTCAAATTCTAATTTCCAGTCCCCAGTGTCTGCCCTTTGCTTTCTTCAATTGGGCAGAGCCATGTGCTCTAGTTCATAGCTAGCCTGGGTGTTGTGGCAGGGAAAAAGCACCACTGATGAGGGTAGGAGGAGTTTGGTGTTGTGATTCTCTATTTTCTCTCCCTTCCATTGTATGTTTTGTGCAGTATCTGTTGTCCAGACACTGGCCATTCCAGGCCTACACTGCTGATGGATGGCAATAGGAAGATAATGTCTGGTTGCAGGAAACTCTGTCAGGTGGAGATCCTATCTGATTAACATTTGGAAATTGTTGTCTTCCATTAGAGAACTTGGCAATCCTTTGTAAAACTCATTTAGGTCAGACGTGATGTTAGGTTGAACATTAGACTGATTTAGGTGTTCAGTATGGAAGACACTGAACGCTGTGCTCTTTCCCAAGCAGTGCTGGTCACTGACCTGAATGCTTTCCTGTAACCTCTTGCGATGTGTGCCTGTGGCTGGTTGTTCTTGTACAACACAGGAAGGCCTTCTAGAGAAGTTTGAACTTGATGTCCTGGAGTGCCCCTTGGTGGCTGCTTCCAAGCTGAGTGAGCTTGATCTCAGACCTGTGTCCACACAACCAGGTTTTGAGGCACTGCTAGATCCCCCTTCATTCATTTCCCAGAAAGGGCAGTCCCTGGTGTCTGCCCATTGCTTACTTCAGCTGGGCAGAGCCACGTGCTCTGGTTCATGGAGAATATGAGTTAGTTCATCGTTAGCCCTGATGCTGTGTCAGGGAAAAGGCACCACTGGTGAGGGTAGGGGGAGTTTGGTGTTGTGATTCTCTGTTTTCTCTCCTTTCCATCGTATGTTCTGTGCAGCGTCACGCTGTCAGGTTCATCATGTGCATCTTGTCTGAATGTTAGGTGGTGCTGCAGAAGTGTGAGCGAGAGCAGAGGTGAAGGAACTTTGCTTCCAGGCAGTTGAAAGAGGCGCTCGCTTCCTCTTTACCTAAGCTGGAATTCTTGGTCCTGCTCCCCCTCCCTTCAGACCTAGAGCTTGTGTTTGTATTGGGTGTAATGTTTGATGTGCTCGTGTCAGGTCTGGCCTGCTACATTGTGGAGGTGGTCTAGCTCTGTTCTGAGTTCCCTGGGGTGGTCAGGACACGGGGGTTTATAAATAATGTGGCGTAGGTGAGAGTAGTCACTTTGTGTCTTGGACTGACAGCACCTACAGAAGTTGTGAGCTCAGTTCCCATTGACACTTTCTTCAGGGTTTTTTGTTGTGGGAGCACTGGCCTTTGTTTCTCACATGTGCCTAAAGGACATGCCACAAACTCTATGTCTGTGCTATAGTTGCCAGTGCATCTCCAACGAGTGAAGCTGCAGGGGTTCTAGCTGTCCTACACTGCCATGAGTCTTCTGCACTCATAGCCATGCTCCTCTCCACAGCTGAGCCTGAGTCCAAGACATGAACTTTGGACTCTTCTGATACTGCTTTCAACTTGCATGTGAAGCACAGTTACTCAGAGTTATATCTCATAGGTTTATTTCCTTCTTGTGTGTGATGGGTGGATAACAATAATGTAATAACCATAACATGAATCAGAAGCTTGTTGTTAAGCTACATCATTGCTGAGGTAGTCTTCTAACACTGTAGAAAATTACCTGAGGATTTCCAGACTTTTAACCTTCATGCTATTCTGTAGACATAAAGGAAATACTTTTTCTTGGATTTTGGATGGAATCTACTGCTTGCACATAACATTGCTCTAACTCTATAACTGGCCTCACTGCTGATATTCCAGACAAGTGCTGTCTAACTGTGTGTATGTAAGAAACTCTATTTATTGTCCTCTGAGCAATGTTTGGAGAATTGTTTAAAAGAGCCTTAAACACAGTTAGTCCTAATTTAGATAGGTCTGCCAGAGTGGCAACCCAAAAAACTGAAAGGTAGAAGAAGGGTTTATTGCAGTGGCCTCAGAACCACAGAAATCCTTCCACAATTCTCAGATTTCAGCCTGAAGCCAGTCAGGTTTTGTGTCTATTCTGCTGCTACTGGAAACGTGTTTTGGAGCTTTACTCTGCACATGGTTAGAAATCTCTTTCTAATTTTCATTTTGGCCAGATGTATCACCTTTTTTACCTTGTTCCTTGAAATTACTTGGCTCTTCTTCTCTAATACTTACCCTTTAATTTATTTTGGAACACTTACAGCCCTGTCTCTTTTCTTCCTACCCAATCTAAGCAAAAGCCTTTCTTCAGGCTCTTCAGATTCCTCAGTTGTGTATAAGTTTTATGCTCCTGCCACAGCTTGATCTCCTTTTTGAACCCAGATGACAAGAACTGTATCCACTATCCCAGTTAAGTGCCTTCTATGACAGGTCTCTTCTCTTTCTGTGAGAAAGACTGCCTAATATAAAGTTTGCCACTGATTACTCTTTCTGATGCTGTTCTTACACAGGTGACTGATTGCCAACTATCTGTAAATTTTCTTATCTTTATTTTTTCCTAACACAATTTTTTTCTGAAGTCCTATTGTTATTGATATCAAAATAGTGAGTTTATAGTTGTTTGTATGGCTTTGTTCCCTTTCTTAAATATTCCGCTACTGTGTTTGATCCTCCAGTCATGGAGTTGTGTCTGTCAATTTGGGAATTATAAAACAAATCTGATATATGAGACTTCTCACCTTTCTTTGACTAAAGGAGGCATTTTCCAGAATGCAAACCAGCAGAGTGGGCTTCAAGAAAATCCCATAAAACAAGGAAAAAGGTTTGGGTTTTGTTTTAATATGAATGGAACATATTAATGTGTGAATCAATTCTACAAAGAACCCCAACTGCAGTGGAATAATAATAAAAATTAAAAGTATACTTTAAGTACATCAGTTACCCATGTATTAGCTGTTGGAATGGATGAAAATTGCTTTCTTACATTCTCTGTGCCCTGTCTTCTGAGAATAGCCAGTTGCAGTAGGTAAAAGAGCACACATGACTCTTGTGTGCCAGTCTCTGTGCATGACTTCAGTCCCAAATAATGTAGTCTCATAGGGAGTGGCAAATGCTCCATCATTATTCATGGCTTTAGAACTGAGTTCAACAGTAGTGGAGGTTTAGAAAAAGATCCCATGGGTCAATGAGAGTATCAGTGAGAAATGCCTTGGGCTTAATGGCCTAGCAAGTAAAACTCTTTGAGGCAGTACAGAAAGAAAAGCACAAAAGTGTGTCATTTGGTGACACAAGCTGATGAACTAGCAAGAAGCAGACTAGAAAGAAGTAAAGTTGTATGGTAAAAGGCTGGGATTTGAGCAAGTGTTCAACCAAACAACGAATCTCCTACATCTTTAAATAAGAAAAGCAATACTTAAAAGTGAGAATAGTAGGGAAATTAGAGGTGCAAACAGACTCCACTTGATCTTCTCTTTCCTGGACACAAAGATACAGTCCTAGGCAGTGACAAGACAGAGAGTGAGGTTCTAGAGCAAATTGATCATTTAGATGGCACCAGTGTGCATGTCACCTACACCAGGAGGGATTTAAGAGAGGAGTTTCTCCTCAAAATCATTAAAACAGTTCTGATTCTGGAGGAGTGTAAAATAACAAATAGTATATGTAGGCTTCTATAAGAATACAGGCAGGTGTGCAAATTTACAATTTTGCATATATTCTGTGTAGATTTTTGTCTGATATAATAAAAACAAAACAAGAAGTGGTGCAAGGTCTGGTAAGCATGTAAATATTTTCTTTTGAAAGTAAAATCACTTCTTGTATGCAGCTGTCCAGAAGACTAAGCAGCAATGATGCTGGAGGTAAACTTGTGTTGTAAATCAAATTTTGTTTGAAGCAAAAGTGTAAATAAGATGAACCTTTTTAATGTGGGGGGAAAAAAAGGGGAAGGGAGTGAGGAAAGTGCTCAGAGTTCAAGGCTAAATTTTGATCATATAGTGTATTTAGGATGTGATAAAAGGAGAATTGGAAGGAAAAACTGCAGACAATATTTAAAGAAAATGCCTGTCTTGGAAAATGATGAATAAAACCCTCAGCATTGACAACAGAAGAAAAGAAATACACTTACTCGCTTTTTGACTGGAGAAGTTCCCACTGTTATTTTATGCATGTGTTAGGCCATTAGAAACTCATAGCACTCCTGTCATTCTCAGCCTTTCCTTAGTCTGAGTTCTTGCTGCTGGAAAGGAATTGCAGGTTAAGTCAAGGGTGCCTAGAAATACTGAGCAAAGACCGGCAACAAGCAGTTCTCAAAAGCCAAGCAGGATCTGAGCTGTAGACATGTATGCGTGTATTTTTTAGATATGAAGTTTAACTTCAAGCCCTAGAAAAGAAACAGTGTGGGGGTTTGGTTTTTCAACTTTCACCTGAAGTCTGGTTTTGTTCTGGGAACTGGTGAGTCAGAAGTGGTACCTATTGTTCAGTGCTCATAGAGAGACATGAGCTTGTCAGTGCTTGCTGCTTAATAGAGCTACCAACTCCTATGGCTGCAAATGAACTAGATTTATTTCCTGGATTATAGACACCGTCCAAAAGGAACAGAAAATTCATTCCACTGTGCAAGGGCTGTGAATTCTCCGGCTGAGGGCTGCAGGAGTATCTTTTACCACCATCTTCTGGAAGTCACCTAGAACTACAACCTATGTCAGAAGTGTTCGGAAGTGTTTTAGGATGTGCAAGTAGTAAATCAGAATGAGAAGTATGGATGTCTTAGTGAAACGTGTGCTGATGAATATTATCTTTTCTCTTCAGCCTATTTGTCAGGCAGCTTATAATAACAATTTCAATGAAGTTCAACTCCTTCTGGAGCACAACAGCAACTATCTCAACATCCAGGACAGCTTCGGTGGAGATACCCCCTTAATTTGTGCATGTAAACAGGGAAACAACAGGATAGTTAGCTATCTTCTAAAAAGAAATGCTGATGTCAACCTTAGAAACAAGGTAAGTGGCCACAAACTCCTACTGTGCATTGACTGTTCTTTCAGATTCTTGGAGTGTATGTGTGGGGATGCTGGCAGGAACAGCCAAACCTGAGGTTTGTTTCCAGCTGAGGCAAAAATATAACACCCAAATGATAATTCAATAAAGCTATATGTTTCTATTTGTCTCCTCCTTTATTTTGCTAACTTGCCAATACACACAAGATGATAAACATTGCCAACCTGAATTTCTCTCTGTGTTCACATTCCCCATTTAGGTAATACTGCATGTCATCCCCAGTCCCCAGTAGGTTCTGCCTGCTTATCCATGCAGCACTCCACATTTGTCTTGCCCTCCACCTTGCATCTGTCCCTTCTTTCCCTCTGTCCTTTTCTTCACCCTGGTTAAAAGGAAGATCTGAATCAGAGCCTGTTCATCTCTCACAAATGAGGAGAGACTGACTCTAAGAAAACCTTCCTTATTTCCTCTGCAGACCTGCTTTTGTCATGCTACAGAACAGTAGCATGACACATAATAGCATACTGGGGAGCAAAGACGGAAGCCTTCCATCTGTTCTCCCCCTGTTCCCTATTTTAAAAATCCTACCTCCCTTTTACAATAGCTGTGACTGGCTGTTTTCCCTAAGGTGACGAGGAAGTATGTTTGTAGTAGATTTCCTTGCAGGTTACAAATAAAAAGTAGCTAAAAGATATGTTTCTGTTTTCATTAATAATTTATTCTTATGATGTTAAAGCTGGCAAATAGCCAGGAAAAAACTCCATAACATTGTCAATTCTGTGGTATCATCTCATACTCCAAGGCAATGTTTAGCAAGTTCCTACGCATTTGTGGACTATCTTATATCTCTGGTTTCCATTGCATTTGTTTATTTCATAGGAGGGCAGCAAATGTTCATGAGGTCAGTAGCATATCCTATCCCATCTATTATTCTTGATACAGAAGGCTCTCCATCTTACCTCAGTGTCCCTTTGAAAGGATTCAGTATTTTGCTGTAAGGTAATTTTGATTGCATTGGCAGCCATTTGCTAGCCATACCTGGCTTTCTTCAATGACTTGCTGCTTGCCTTCAGAGATAGAATCAGGCTCTAGGGTGCAGAGCTCAACTGTGGTGCTTAGGACTGAGAATGGGGAGCAGAGGATGGCACAGAAAGGCCTTTCTGCTCATTTTTGAGGCCCAATGTAACACTGTAACCAGGTTTGTCAAATTCTAGTTTGACAACCTGTAGGAGGTTTAACACAAGTGTTCTTTAACACACAAGTTTACATCTCTGCCCTTTAGTTGCTTTCATATACTCAGTATTCAAAGATTTTTTAAACTCTGTTCTCACTAGGAATCTGCTGGGGGTGTTGCTACTTGCCCGTGTTTCTCATGTGTCAAAAGAGATGTGATAAACTCTCATATGTCTTTGCTTTAGTAACCAGCACTTCTGTAAGGAGAGGAGCTGGCAGGGAGTCTTCCTGCTGATTTAACTTGCTAGACAGCGGTAGTAGCCACATGAGATGTTCAACACCCTCTTCCTCTCTGGAGTCTTGTCCAAGTTTGGAGACATACACATGGAATCCTTTGGTTTGCACATCCTTCTTGCACACGTAGCCCAATTTCCATGTGCCTGTATGTGTTAAATGTGCTTCTGCCTGACGGAAGCAAAATGCATGTGTCTGTTTCTGCTTGAAAATCAGAGAAGTATTTCTAGTAGATAACCTAAAAGAAAGTTTGTGAAATATAAATTGGTCTACTATTATAAATATTAAACAAATATAATCAGATCACTGAATCTGGTACTAATCAGAGTTATTTTGTGTTTAGAAGGATCGTACTTGTCTGCATTATGCTGTGAGAAAACGATTTACCTTCCTTGACTATGTGCTCATCATAATCCTTATGCCAGTTATGCTTATTGGATATCTTCTCATGGTAAGTCTGGATGAAAGCAGGAAAGACCCCATACCTTTCTAATGATGGTATTTCAGGCCAGGAACCTGTACATAATATGGGCCGCTTTTTAAAAGCAAGGACTGATGGAGAGCAACAGAATAAGCAGGGGTTTTGCTGTGAATATAGTTGGTGAAGGAACAGAATTGTATCACTGCATCAGTCTGGCATTTGCAGAAGCCAGACACTCTTATTTTTGGAAAAAAAACGCAGTATTTAGCCATAATCTACTTAGTACTATATGCAGATGAACTACCTTACTGTGTTACTCTTTCCTTTGCACCAAACAGGTCTCAAAGACTAAACAGAATGAAAACCTGATCAGGATGTTGCTTAGAGCTGGAGCTGATGTTAATGCTACAGACTTTGTAAGTGGGTTTATACATATGTAAATGTGGCTTGTATTCATGCAACAATACTAAAAACAGACTTCAGGAGCTTCTAGCAACGTAGTCTTGCTTTCAGATTAGGTTCGGGGACTGAACTGACTGTGATGTACCAGGAGGATTCAGTATTTCCCCATGACACTTAGGCAATAATTTTGTAAAGTACACAGAAATAATTCTCCACTGATCAACTAATTGTCCCTTTCTGACCAATGCCTTCTTAAGAGAATCCAGGCAAGCTGGGTTGAGATACTTACATATTAAATACTTGATCCTATAAAGATTCTAGTGATATAAAGGTCTGAGTTTCTCACCATTTATGAGTTCTGGGACTGAAACAGATTTGTGGACAAAGGTTGTGGCACAGTGCTAATCCTGTATCTTTTCTTGGTCTTCAGAGTGTGCTGATTGGCCATATGTGGAGGTCTGCATCCACTAGCCTACCTGGGTGTGATAAACAGCTCCTCTACTCTAAGGTAGAAAAGGAGAACCCCCAATTTTAGCAGCAACCAAATTCTAAAACACTGAAGTGTAAGCAAACAGTATTGCTTCAGACATAATTGTTGAGATAAAGATCATGGAATCCTCTGAAATTAGTAAAGAACTATTGGCTTCCTGCTGAAGGTATCATACCTGTTTTAGCAGCTGCTTCCTGGGGAAGGAATGATTTTTTTTTGTTCTTGTTGCTCTTATGAGAATTTGTTTTACTGTGTAGTGTATTGTGACAGGACATGATATGTGTTTTTTGTATCCAGATATTAGGGGGAAACTAATAAGCCTACAGGTAGTCATACTTGCCTAAGATCTACTAAAGAAGTACCAGAACTAAAATTCATCTGCTTCTGTTTCCCTTCAGTGTGGTAGCACAGCCCTTCACTATGCTTGTGAAATGAAAAACCAGGCAGTCATTCCTTTACTGCTTGAGGCTCACGCAGACATTTCTGTAAAGAATCAGGTAAGAAGGTGAAGTTGATAACTACATTTCCTTGTGAAGATGGTGAACCAGCATGTTGTAGGCCTTAGCTGGTGTGCAGCAGTTTAAAAAAGGGTGCACAGCTTCTGTCAGCAGACTTGTTTGCTCTGGGGTATAAAGCAAAGTTTGCTCCATTGCCTCTGTTGGCAAGAACAACTTTGAAGTCCAAATCCTTCACTGCTGGATTTCTACCAGTAAACACTGCTTGCGTGTCCACTGGATTGGCAGTTCTCTTAACTATCTTTATGGTACCTTTTCTTAACTCAGAGCTACTATACAGTTGTTCCTAAAATGCAGGCTGCAGGAGAGCACTAACAGCATTCCTAGGTGCTTTTTGTGCCACTGGACACCATTCTCTGAGAGGGGCTAAGTCAAGTTCCTTCTGCCATCAGAAAAGCTCAAATGTTGCCCAAATGGATATTGACCTGGGAGTATCTGCATTACTGAGTCAAGATGAGTAACATATTGCTCATGTTGCTCTTGAAATCAGGTCTTAGCTTAGCTCTGTACTGACTTTGGACATTAGCCCCAGGAGACAGTCACTGCTGGAGGGGAGGTCTCTACCCCTGGCTTCAGTGAGAGTAGTATTAGACTCAGCATGTTCTGAAACCTTTGTTTTAGAGCAAGGATGTCACAGTGAAACGTACGCAGAAGAGTACTGCATCTGGGTGGCAAATTTGGGAAAGCTCTTTGTACTTGACCTACATCTATCATATTGCAATATATTTCATCTGTTTCTTTCAGGCTGGGGAGACTCCTTTAGATATAGCAAGAAGGCTGCAGTTCTACAACATTGAAAACATGCTAAGGAAAACGTCCTAGTCATCAAGGAGTCTTGAAAATGCAGAAAATTACCTCAGCTGTCAATCTGTCTTGCACAGCAGCAGGAGTCCTGCAGAAGGTTGAGGGCTGTTACTTGATAAAGACTTGGTCCAACTCCACTGTTCCTTGCTGCAGACTTTGACTGTTTTGTGTGAGATTTGTCAGTACCCCCAAGGCCGTGTAGGCTGAAAGGAGTTAATCTGATTTTGATAAGCCATGAATGATTATGTGTTCAAAATATTGCCCTTCCCATCTGCTTCCCCAGTTTTATTACTTAACTTACACAGACTGTGGATTTTGAAAGCTAGCTATAATATTTCTGAAAGCCTAAACATTGCACATGATGGTTGGCAGTCAATGCAAAAATCAAATATCCTTTGGAGTGTATGTTATTTGTTCTGTAGGGGATACACTTGACAACCAAACAACATGCCACAGCAATTTATACAGTCTGGTACCCTTCCTCTTAGTATTTCTCTTCCTACAGTGGGAGTGACTGGGAAAACAGATCTCAGCTTGACACTTCTTTCTTCCATCCCTGCTACAAGTTTCACACACCCCAATTCTCACTATGTTGCTACTAGGGAAGCATTATCTTTGTTGTTTCTTATATGAGAAAGAAAAGAGATTCAATGAGTTACTGGAGACAAAGAAAGCGAATTCCTAGGTTGCTTAATGCATTAAGAAATAATAATGAAAACATGTTTAGTGCAGTAGAGAACCAAGTCTCTTAACTACTTTTCCAATATAAACAGTGTGCTAAAGTAAAAAAATCAGTAAATGAAATGCTGATGGGAATCAGTTGTATCCTTCCCATGGGACTGGACAGGATAGCCTGCGTTTCAGAATGGTGCATGCAACAGGGGATGCATGTACCAAAATAATAATAAATTAATGACTCTTGCATAGGTGAAGACAGAAGAAAACCTGCAGTGGTAAGCAATGTATTAATGTGCCCTGGTGCTTTGTGATTTAATAATGCAGCAATAAAGGGGAATCTCCTTTCAAATGTTGCTGCATCTTGCTTTCTTGGTCTAATGGATCTTTATTTTTGTTGACAGTTTTGGCTATTTCCTGTAAGCTGCCATAAGTTCGGAAGATAGACGCCATGATCAGCATTGGTGATGGCTGCTAGACTAGGTGCATGGGCAAACTGGTGTGTTTTTCCTGTGTTGCAGAACACATGTACATTTTTTGCTGTAATTATTCTATTGGATTCTGACAACTACAAAGTGTCTCGGTTGGGCAATATGAGCTTGAGGCTCCACCCAGGAACACTCTGGGAAACAAAACTACCCAGTCTGAGCTCCTAATAATGAACGCTTTGGGTGTAACCAGAGGACAGACAGCTAAATCAGCTTGTAGGTAAGTACATGTGAAACACTTGCATGGATAACGAAGATGCTACCTCTTTGGGCTAATGGCTGGAAAGGGAAAACAGTTGACTGCCTTCCTATGCTGTATAAATTGCTTGAGCAGACTGGTCAAGACACAGAGTTACATAAAAGTCTGTCTTAGTTTGGGCTGAAATAGAATTAATATTCCTTTTCAGGGACTAGATGAGTGCTGTGTTTTGGATTTAGCTTTGGGTTTGGTATGGGAAAAATGCTGATAGCACACTGATGTTTTCAGCTGCTGCCGAGACTTCAAGGACTCTCCAACTCTCCATGTCCTGCCCGTGCGCAAGGGCACAGGGAGCAGGGAGGGAGCACGGCCACAGCACCTGACCCAAACTGGCCAGTGAAATATTCCATATCATGGAACGTCATGCTCACTATATAAAGGAGGGGTGGCTGGGAAGGGGCTCGCTCTCACTTCCGAGATTGCGATTGTGGGATCTTGGTATCTCGGGGTCGCTGGCCGGGAACGGGCTGGGTATTGGTTAGCAGGTGGTGAGCAATTACGCTGTACATTGCCTGTTTATATATTTCTTTTTGTTTTCCCCCCATCATCGTTATTGTTCTCGTTTTATTGCCATTATTAAACTGTTCTTATCTCAGCCTGCGAGTCTCCCTTCACCCCTCTAATCCCCTCCCCCATTCCCAGGTGGGGAGTGGGAAGGGAGGGTGATTAGCTGCGGTGGTTGGTTGCCGATCAGGCCCAAACCACAACAAAGTCAAAGCTGAGAGCTCAGAATGCTTGCAACAGCTTAATTATCAGCGTCAAGAATAATTATTGGAGTGGAAGCTGTATTGCTTGGAGTGCAGCTTGTCTGATGGGTCTACATCTGGAATGAAGAGATCAGCTGCAATCCATGGTCTTTGAAGTTGGGGGTTTAGAGTGTGTGAAGAAATCTTTGGGTGATGTGTAGGCATGGAGGGCAGGAGAATATTTCTATGAGTTTTTCAGAGGCTGGACTGCTTGATGTTTGGAAGTCATCTATTGCCTGCTCACTTTCTTGCATCTGAAGATCTCTTGGTTGTGTTGACACTATAGGTAAATGTGAGGAGTGAAAAAGGAAAAAAACAAGTTCTCTGTCAAGTGGATAACTGATTTAATTTAAACAAAGGTCAATTGTACTTCAACAGAGAAATGAGCAAATCCCACTTTTGGGTCTTCATGGGAAGACAAATATCTGGCATGGGAATGCCTCTGTGGGTTACACAGATATATATGCACAAGAACAACAAAATTTAGGCTTAGGAAAATCAGTCTTGTAGAAATAAAATCTGTCCACAATAAGTGATCCCTGAAGTGTATGTTCATATGTATTCATATTTTCATCTTTCATTCCTATGCATTGCAAACTTCTCAGGAAGACAGCACTCACAGTAACACTGTGGGAAACCTCAAACTATGAGGAAAAAAGATACAAACAAGTGCAGATAAATACCTACACTGGGATCCATTATGTGTCTGTGTGTTTACCTCTTCCCCATGTATCACCCTTATTGCCACATAGAAATTTTGGAGGTTTTTACTGAGTGAATCAACATTCTTCATGTGGTTTCAAAAGTATTTTCTTATTAGTTCAATGATTTTCCAATACATTTTCTCAGTTGCATCAAGGCCCCAGATGAAATCAAGATGTCCCCAAGCAGGAAAATGCTCATGGTAAATGAGATTAGTAATCCGAGGAAGTAGCTTTGCCATGTCTTTTGGATCTGCAAATTTGTCTTCTCCACCACTCCAAACAGCAATTGGTATGCCTATCTTCTCTATCTTGTATGCAAGAGGAGTAGACTGTAAGAAAAGGAGGAGACCTGAGTGAATGCTGTTGCATCAGAAGTTGTGTTTAGAGAAAAGACTCTGTGCAAGCATCTCTCTTTCCCTACTGCACTCACTGCAGTAAACCAGTAAGCAAGAAGACCACCCTCTCAGTGTCGATTTCTCAAACCCCGTTCCCTGTTGTCCATGAAAAGGAATGATCCATTAAATTCCCGTGTCTTTTCTGAATGCATGTCTGTGAGTTGTCCTGCAGTCTGACACCTACTTGTGCCCCTTGGAGGTGGAGATATGGAAAGAGCAGTGTCTGTGTTTATCAGGCAAGGACTGTGGAGCTTCTTCATGTATATATTTAGGGTGGGAAGATTCTTATATTTTGTTGGGGCACGGAGTGCAACTGTTGGTCTTAGTTGTTATGCCTGGGATTTAAGTGGCAAGGAAATACTTTGGCCATTTATAATTTCACTTTAGAAAATTTTTGAGACAGTGTGTATGGGTAGAAGTAACTGATCATATCTCTGGAGCTTTTCTGTCTGTGAAAAACAGCCTGCCCTGGTACAGCACAGGACACCGCAAGTCATATGTGCTAATTAAAAGTGAAATGATTGTCAGCCAATTGGACAGGTCACTGTAGCTGTGAGATTAATTTCCTCCCTTAATTGAAAGGCAGACCTTGAGGATTTTTGGGGAAGTGAAGATCTTCATATTCATCCAGTTCAAGGACCTGGGTGTGTCTCTTATCCTTTTGGGAATGGCAGGTAAATTGACATGTCGTTGGACACAACTCTGCATCAGTAGGGGAGGCAAAACTTCTCTTAGCTGTCTGCAAGGATCTGTCTATGCCTTGTCTGTGAATAGACTTTTACACTTATAAGTATTGGACTCCAGTGAAACATTACCTCAGACCACTCTCTCCTTCTTTCTGTAGTGCTCAAGGTGCTAAAATCTGAATTATTTCTATTCTTATTTTTGCCAGGACCCAAGGATGGGTTTTCAGGGAAAGCATATTGCCTTACCTGGTTGTATTTCTTCATGTTTTCCTTAGAGCCATAGTCGTAAGCTTGAAATCGGTCTGCACGTCTTATCTGTTAAAAGAACAGATAAAAGGTAAGTGTTGAGAGACCAAGAAGCAAAGTACAGGAGTTGTTTTCTTGCCTGTGATTGAAGGCAAGGCTCGGGCAGTAGACAGGCTTCCAGCAGTACTGAGGATGGATTGTAGGGTGAGCGGTTTCATCTTTTTTCCCCTTGCTAACATTCTCTCCTGATCCTCAGCTGTCATCCTTTGTATGTTGTGTTATTAAAATTTTGCTTGACTGCCTTAGTAAGCTAAAGTTGGGGTCCCTGTTCATGATGCAGAGTCAGGGTTCAGCTGTCACATGGAAAGACATCTGTAATGTCTAGAATGTGTCAGAGCTATTGCTAGTCTAGTGTAATATAAGATCCCTCCTCACTCATCTTGTCTTTTGTGTGTTAGTTTTGTCTAGTCTGCTCAAAGCAGTAGTGACATTTCCAGAGGCTCTGTACTTACAAGACTTTGGCTATACATGAGTTGTGCTCTGACAGCATTTTTGGAGTGGAACATTAGGCATGAGACATTAGTCTTCTTGAGCCTGTGTTGTTTAAAAGACATGATATATGCCCTGCAGGACTGATGAGTGAAGAGCTAGGTGCACATCTGTTTGAGAGTTTTTTATTTGGTTGGGTTTTTTTGTAATTTTATTTTTATTTTGTTTTTTGCACAAGTCTGACAAATAATTTCATTTGTGAGTGGTTGTATGTAATACAGGGTGAGAGAAAGTCAATGTCTGTTTTGTTTAGAAAACCTTGACTTCAAGGTTTCAAGTAGCAGGGAACGTGCTAGAAATCTGCTTGCTGTATTGCATTTGCTATTTTCTTCTATCCTTCTGTATCTGTGTTCGCTTTGTAGCCACTTGACTTTGTTAGAAGCTGGCAAAAAGGCTGTAAAGCCATTGGGTGTCAATGATTTGTCCCCATTTCTTGGCTCTGGGTAGGTGTATCCTGCGGGGATGACTGCTGGGAATTTTTGTCAGGGATGTCCTTGGAAGCACACCTATATTCTGGACCATATTAAGTGTTTGCAGAAATGGGAGGTCTGCCTATAGAATGTATTCAGATATATCCTGGGTCAGCAGGTGCACATGGACACATGCAGTGATGTGTTTCTTGGCTGGAGCTGTCTTGCCCTGGTCTGATTCAGACCATGAGCAGAACAAGTAGAAACCCACCTTTAGAGAACTGTAATCCAGGATCTGGACAGTGACAAGAGTAGCTGAAAGGTTTTTGGAAAAAAATGGCTGTTGGGAACATCACTGTAGAGCAGGGTTGCTTGTCATGTACTGTAGAAGTGTAAGGCAGTTTCCTACTTTGCCGCTTGTGCCAGCAGAAACATTTTTGTGGTTAACTGGGCTTGAGAGGTGATCCAGGATGCAATTACCTCTCTGGGAGAAAAGCTTTAACCTGCATTACTTCTTTGTCTGGCTTATCCCCAGGTTCCTCAAGTTTCCACTACACTCCTACTACCTGCCAAGTTCCTAGACCATGCTTGCATTCTCTTCTGCAGCTTTCAAGGCAAATGTCTTCATAAATAAAAATGAGGGCTGGAAGACACTGAGCCCAACATGCAGAGAGGCCTGATGTGCCCTGGGGAAACCTCAGTGCCTGATACCAGAGGGACAATTCAGGCAATGGTAATGGTCTGGTGAGGTCATGGGAAAGGGTGCTCCTTCTGTGCGAGGTGCTCACAGCAGCACGTGAGAAGGTGTGAGGGGAAGTTTCCCAGATCCACCACATCTGGACTTCCCTGTAGGTTATCGGTTGCATAAAAAGCAGTAATAAGTTTATATGTTAGTATGCAGTTATACCTGACGCCAATGAATAATGTTCTGTACTGATGTTCCAGCAGGGGAATGTCCTACGTATGTATCTATTCGACTCTGGAGAGAAAACAGAAGCGTTATAAAGGCAGTGATCCAGTGCTGTGACATAATAAAGCTGTGAAGGACCTGAGTAACACACTGCTGTTGTGTTAAAACCCCATTTTAATAGAATATTCTTCAAATATTAGACAGGAAACTGAGAAGCAGTTTTAGAAATAGCTGGTTAATAATATACATCTGCATGCTTTCTCCATGAAAGTGAGTCTATCTGATGAAGACAGTACTACTGTGGGATCCCGTGGTCCAACAACAACCTTTCAGTCCTTTCAAAGTAGATTCCTCACCTCACACCAAACCCCCATGCACGTGTCTTTTGAAGATTTGTTTTTTCTCTTCATTTTACTCCTAGTGCTGAAGAAGTCAGCTTATAAGGCATTGATTTTTCTTCTGTTTACATTTTTTTTAGTTCTGTTAAGGAGATGTTCCAATTCCATCTCCCTGGTTTCCTCCTCAGACTTGCTCTGTTGCCCTGAGAACCACATTAGCGACTTAACCCAAGTCAGGAAGGATCATTAATGATTTAGCTCTTCAATTCAAAAGGGCTTCAATGCTTTTAATTGCTTTTGCATTGAACCTTTGATTCTCACTGCTTTCCCATATATGCTTTTACTAGTGGTTATAGATGGAGAAAAATAGGTCCCAGTCTTTACAGATATTGCAGTAATAAACATTGCACAGGCCAGCTTCTTCATACTTTGACCACTCTAAAGGGGATTTAAGACACACTACAGTGTCCATATGTTGGCAAGCACAGGTACAACTCTCCTGTCCTCTCTGACTGATTCACTAGTCTATGTGAATCCCACTGCGGGTGTGTTGCACCCCTCAGGCACAGTGCAAGGACTTCCTGTAGCTCTACATGTTGTGGATTGAGCTGCTGGCCCCTAAGAACAACAAAAATGGGAAAATGCCCCTTACAGTAGTTTTATGAGACCGAGTTCTTGTTCAAGTAGTCTGAAAAATGGGAAGAGGAAAAGAGCTTTTTCCTTTCTTCCAGTGTTCAAAGGACCCTGGTGTTTGCATGCTAAGAAAGGGAACTGGGAACTGTATTACCAAGAAGTCTGACTCCATCATTTGTTAGCTCTTTTTGAAGAGCATCTGTGTATGACCAAAATCTGGTTGGCTTAGCCCCAAAAGGGGGCACATCTATTGACATGCACAATATAGCTCCAGACTGAATTCAGTCCTTTCGTTTTGGGATTGGAATGTGCCTAGATGTTGATCCCATCCAGAATTAGCTCTAGTCTTGTTTGGCACTGTTCACATCCCACAATGTCCTGACATTCCCTCAGTCTGCTGAGAACTACATTATGGTTTATGTGCATTTACATGCATAACAGTTACTAGATAAGGATAGAGTGCACAAATGTAACTTCCAAAATCACATTAGTTCTACTTTGAGTAGGTGTTTTTGCATAAACTTACCGTGTTCAGATTTTTTATGTTGCCTCCAGCTATGTAACACAGTACATGGCCACAAAACTTATCCAGGTCTGTACAGAATTGTGTCACAGGTCCTTTCAGAAGTCCAATCTGGTGCAGGGCCCCTTTGCAGCCAAGTACTAACTGTGGAAAGGGAAAAGTGCAACACTTTTTTTTTTTTTTTTTTTTCCTCTTTACAGGAGCATTTTATGCAGGAAACTGTTGCTAATAGCCTAGAAGCCTAACTCAGTATTCAAAGATTGCTGAAACAGCTTACTGTCCCAATACCCCTTAAAACACATTGACGTTATCATTCCTTCTTCATATTACTGGCATAAATTCTGGAGGAAGCCATCCTTCCATTTCTAGTGTAGTGACCTCAATGCTCAATCGTTTCTGAAGTCCCAGAGATTGTCATGGCTAGTATTGCAGCTCTGGTTTAGTTCCTCCTGCATGAGGCCAGTAAAATATTAGTTAACAGCAAGAGTCCTATGATGAGACAGAGTTTCACAAATCTCCTACTTCACTGGAACCTGCTTCTACAAGCCCTATATCTCCAGTATTTTCCTCACAGAGTTTGGGAACAGATTTTTCAAGAGCACTTGATTCATCCCAAGCTCAGTATCAGCATATCACCTGTTTGGGAACACTTTGTCTCAGATTGAGTAAACCTTGTGAAGGTATGTTAGGCATTAAGCCTCTTTGAAGGAAAAATAACATACCCTGAGCAGTGGTTCAGGAACACTTATTATCTTAATCAGAGGGCTTGTAGCATGTGAGCATGTGATTACTGGACCCAAAGCACAGAACATTTTCACCCGTTTAGCCAGCTCATGGTATGTAGAAAATGCTATGAAGCCTGTAAACACAGAAGAGACAGTCTGAGTTAGTGAAGACATCTTCCACAGAAAAAAAAAATAAATAAGCAGTAAGTAGCAAACAAGAAGTGAACTAGATTTGCAGTCCATTGTCTGTTGTCCATATTTGTCTGTGCTGCGTGTTTTATCTAAGGCAAGTGTTGAAGCTAAGTCCTGAAATGAATTTTATTTGGGAGGCAAAGTTCATTCTGAGGTTTAGAGCATGTCTGAACATTACCTTTATCAGAAAAGGTTTTTGTAGGCAACATGTCAATGAGGTTTTCACGATAAAATCAATTCTCTCTTAAGTTCATAAAACTCATAAAAAATTAGTTTTTCAGATTATAGTCTCTAAAGGTCTATGCATGTTTATGCTTCCATGAAACTGTAAAATAATTAGCTGAATACTGGGAGCTCTGAGTGTTTTCAACTGATTGTTTGCATCAAAGGCAGCTGAAGAAAGCCTAGATGATTAGTTAGTTTTGCCATGAGGGTCTTTAAATACTCTTATGGCAGGAAAAGAAAGAAAAGGTCCGGAGCTGTGACAATATGTGATTTTCCCACATTTCTCTCTCTTTTTTTCTGGGTCATTTACACTAATGAACTGGTAGTTGCTCAGTTCTAATCAATGTCTATTCATTAATCTTACACATTAACCATAAACATCAATAAACATTCAGATGAGGATAAAAGAAAGTTAGTTGCATTCAGAGACCATGAAGTGAGTTAATGCTAAAGGCTGACACTAAGAGAAAATAAGTTATTAATGTTTTTTCTTCCCTAATTTTCAGTGTCTAGCAGTACGTTTTTAAACAGTAATGTGGCCACATATAAATTGTAAGGCTGCCACTAAGTCACATGACTTAGTAATGTCGAGGGTGTTTTTCCTTGTCTTCTGTTATTTGAAATGATGTATTATATGTGCTGTTTTATCTTTTTAGTTTTTCCTTCCTGTTTACAAGGAAAATAATTGTATGTCTTAATACAAAAGATAAAGAAAATTATTGTTGCTGAGAATTTGAGTAAAATACCCAGTGCCAGTACCTGAGGTACCCAGTAAATAATCACTTTCATGTTTCTGATTATTTAGAGAATTGAACTGTATTTGGATATGCTATTAGGTTTCTTTGTTTATTAAGGGTAACCAAAGATAGTTTTAGAAGTTTTGCACATCTTCCAAATCTCAACTCAGAAAGCACTTCTATTCTACATTTGCTAGCTCTCCACAAACAAGAAAAACAATTGAATCAATGAAAAGACCCACTTACTGATCAGATAGGAACATAAATGGTTGTGAACTGTGTGTGCCCTGACATTACCTGCTGTTGAGCCTTCAGAGTGACCAACATAGTATACATACTTCTGTCCAGTTTTATTCATGATGAAGTACAGTTCCGCTGGAATATCGTATTTACCCATTTCATCGAAGCTACAGGGAAGAAACACAAAAAACTAGCAGACAATTTGGCTATCACAGTGTGAGTTACTGAATGCCAGTTTTGTGTCTTGCACCAAGCAGATCCCATTGAAAGATGAGGTTGCATGCTTTGTCTGCATTCTTGCTTGAGTTGGGGAAGGGGGTAGAGGGATGTAGCTATACTGTCAGGCTGCCTGATGCCTTGGGCTCTCTGCAGAGGAGGTGCCAATTTCACCTGTCAGTTGCAGCCCTTGGGGAACTGAATTTAACAAGTGCTTTCACTAGCATGGGTTACAAAACACATTTCTCTCTTGGTTGATTTCAGTTGTGACTGATCAGAGATTTCTGGACAAGGCTGCTCAGCCTGTTCCAGCTGATGTTCTTGCTCTCCCTGTCCACAGTATGGTCTCCCTTTTCCTCAGCATCCCATTTCATTTCCCAGTGTCTGAAATCTCTTCCCCAGCCAGTGCTCCCAACTCTGTGTAGTAGTAAGCATCCTTCTTTGTCTGGTTCTTTACTCTCCTTTGTTGGTGTAGACCCTGATCTGATGCTGGTTTAGGTAAAAAACATCAGGCTGAGGCTTTCTAGTCCCCTCAGAGTTTCTGTCTTGAGTAGTTTTCCCTCTACAGAGTACCTGAACTGCCAGAACGCTTTCTGGCTGGGATTAAGGGTCTTGTGTTTTAAAGACCAAGTGTTCCCTCGGCTGTTTCCCATCCAGACATCATAGCCAGCATCTGCGAGGAGGAAGCCCAAGCTGTTGTTGGGCAGGTTAGAAATCCAGTGGGTAGCATCTCCTAGAAAAGCATGCTGTAGGAAGACTACAGGCTTTTGCCCTGGAAAAGATGAAAGTATTCTTATATTGGAGCAGTAGTTAACGTAGTATATTTAAGATTGGGGTGCAGACTTTAGTTTGTGAGAGGTTTTAAATCTTTCCTTCTTCAAGAAGCTCCCAGGAGAACTATGCATAGATATCAGTCTGAGAAACCTGAAGGATTTGTTCCATTCAAGCAGGAATCATTTAATGACATTTCATAACCATTTCATGTCAGGTCTGGCAAATAAAAAAATTAACTGTCCCCACCTCCTCTTGCACTGGAAAGCAAAACTTACAGGTCCCTGTATTGAAACCATCTACGCACAGTTGAAAACTTCTGAAGGCATAACAGTGTGTGGAAGACAATAATTCATCCAAAGAAACATATCTACTCATAGGTCTATTCAGTAACCAAATGAGCAAGGCTGAGAGGCCCCTCATCCAACTTTGACTAACCTTACTTTGAGAGTGAGACTGATCCAGATAATCTCCAAAGTAGGAGATCCAAATAGTAGGAGTCATTCAAAATAAATTAGTCTATAATTAAAACAAGGACTAATAAACAAAGTAGCAGTATCCAGGGTACCTTGAATTCCAGGTAGAAAATTTTATTCCATTCAGAAAATGTGATGAAAAAGATTAAATACATTTGCTTCTCATTGATGACCTGATTTCTTATCACCTTCCCTAAGAATACCTCTGTCTTTCAGAAGGCTGGGAATGAATGTTCATATGCCTACCCTGAGAGGCTTTGTTGCTGGGCTTCTATTTTAAATGCTTATTATGTAGGGTGTTAATGCAAAACCAAAATCCAATCCACCTGAGAGAAAAAAACTGGAACACAACAAAATTATTAGAAAAGTCTGAAAAAAGAACAGAGACACTGAATGTGTGGCCTTCAGATGGATACAGAATTCAGACTACACTCCTTACTAGGTGCTCTTGCTGAGATGGAAAGGTGTGGAACATGCCATTGTATATGCAAAAGGGGAAAGATGGGGGACCCATGTGGAAATTGGCTCTTAGATTTTCTTTATGTCCTACACTGTGTCATACCTGTATTTTGGTTGTTCCTCCCAGCAGGAATTCTGAAAACACCAAGAATGTATCCATCCTCTGTGGTAACTTGATATTCCTCACTGGGGTATCCATGATATCTGATTATTTCACTCTGTGGGAAAGGAGATTTTGTTAATGTGCAAGTCGTCCTGTATTAGAGAGTAATCAAGCTGAGCAGTGTGGATATAGGCTGTTCTATGATGGTAGTGCAAGGCCTCTGGCCACAGAGACCACGGCTGAGAATAAGTACTACTGAGCTTGTGAAAAGATACATCAAAGTCTTCTTCAGACCTGCTTAGGTGGTAGTTGTCTGGTATCTGACCCCCTATTATGGGACAAAGCAGAACTGTATTGAGTCACTAACCTTTTGGGAGATAATTTGTCATGTTTTGCAAGGCTGGTACACATCATACCTTTCTACAGATTAAATATGTAGCAGTATCTGTATAAGTCAGTGTCAAAAGCTATGGGTTCTGGTCCATAATGAATCCTTTCTTGCCAAAGTGTGGTTAGGCAAGCCATGAAGACAAGGCAAACAAAGGTGGAGCTCTTGTCAATAAGGAACTCATGAGACCATCTACACCTGATTTTTCGTATGCTGTGAGGAAATCTTTGGTGATTCAGAGCAAGGGATTACTTTGTGTTGTGAGAATCTGCTGTTTGAAGAAGGGGCTTAATCTCCCTTGCCATTGTACTGAACAAACAGATTGTTACAGAAGGGGAAGACTTTGCTTCCTTTGAAACTAGAAACCAGCCTTTGCCTTCACTGCAAAGGGGTTCTCTCTGGAAGCTCAGACTGTTTGGATAGGAGCATCAGTTTCTTCTAGGCTGGTACTCCCTATCGTAGTGCTGAAGGGATCTTTGTCCTCTTGCCAGGTTTGCACTCTTCCCTTCTTTGTGTGGTAGCCCAAAATATCAACATGTGTTGAGAAAGTTGACTGCAAATAAGCATCATGAGGCATGACCCAGACTTGTGTTCATCATATATCTGTTGAGGTTCACCCTAAATGCAGACAGTCTGTTGTTCAGTTTGGGATAGACTGGATCTTGTGGTCTGTACTCTGGCCACAGTCCAGGGCTGAGTCCTGTTGCTGGTGTCAAAATTCAGTAGCCTGGATCTCCAGTTTCCCTTTGGGGGTTCTGGGCAGTTGTCCAGCCTTGGAGCCAAAAGTAATAGCCAGCACTCTCCATTGCAGTGCCACATGTCTGTCCTCATGCAATGTGAAAGAGTGACATCTGTCCCTGACACATTCAGAACTGGCCCTCATTGCAGCGGTGACTCTAATGCAGTGGTTTTGGAAAAGACAGGCTGGGAAAATGGGAAATGTGGAAGGGGTCATTCTTAGCCTCCTGACAGGGACTATAGTGATGCGGTGGGGTGGTGTTACGTGGAGAGACACTTTAGAAAGAAAGGGAGAGAAAGTGACCCAACTTACAACGTTCATAAAACATTCGGGGTTGCGAGTCTTCCTGCACTGGCTTGTGTCTGAATTCAGAGTGGAAAGTGTTGTAAATCCTGCTGAAAAGACAATTCCTTGGGAGCAGAGCAGCACAAGGAGGTACCACATCTTGGGGCTGTATGAAAGAGCACATGCAAGTGTGTTTGTGTTAGGAAGAGAGTGCTGTGGAATTCCACAGGAAGACCCAAGTGTGGAGTCTCCTGAAGGTTGCCTAAGGTCTGTTCCCCAAGGGTCTGCCAGAATAAGTACCTGTGTGAGGAAGGACTGTCCACAGCTCACACTGTGTAACAGGGAGGGTTGCAGAACAGGTGAGGAAAACACTTGTGATACCCTGTGAGAATATGCCTGCACACCGTGCAGATGACAAGGCAGCTGTTGTTGGTAGACAAGGCCAGGTCTTGGCGTGAGTCTAGCAGAAGCTTGACAAAGAATTATGAGTGCCTGAGCTGACCACCACCCAGCTTGTCTGCTTTTATCTGCCTCTGTTTCTCTGCCAGCAGGAGAAGTGAAAGGAGAAAAAAGCACCGTTTTTTTCCTGTCTCCTCAGGAATGGAGAGAGGTTTGTGATGGGCTCTCTTTCCAGCTGCCCTCTCTTCCCTTGGAATCAAATGCCATTCTTGGTGCTGGTCAGTGGTATGCTGGGGTAAGGGATCAGTCAGAGAGTCCTGTGAGGGGTTGTGCAAGGGCCAGGATTGATTCAGAGACTCTGGGAGGAGATGTAATGGGCTTAGGGAAACATGCTTGAGCCATATCAGTGCCAGCTTCTGCTTTCACCATGGGGTGATGTGGCCCAGACCAGGTTCAAGTTCTGTTTGAAATTAGTTCCTCTGAGAATATGAAGCAAACGAGGTGATCATGTGTGGCTCCCCAGAAGCCCCATGAGTCAGTTCCCAGTCAAACATGCCTTTCAGACTGAATCTGAGTCATCTAGGTCTCCATTTACCATCCCCTCAGGCTTCTTCACCAGTCACTTGCTGCCCACTTCTTCCAAGAACCTGCTTTGCTATCCCCAGAACATTGCATTTTTCCGACTGCTACTTCTTGAGCCCAAAGTTTCTGTCTCAAAATTGATGGCTGCCACCAGCTGAGAAACCACGGAATGATTTGGTTCTCGAGCAGTAAACAATGGATCCTGAGATTGCCTTCATGTTGCCTGCATGTGTGAGGAAAGAATGAGAGCTGTGAAGAGAAAAATAGCAGCCTTTCTGCACGTGGATAAAGACTATAAAGATCAGGCAGGATATCTAAATGTTCAACAGTAGAATCCATGGGACAAAAAGGACATGTAATGCAATGTAAGGCTTCAGCTCATCAAGGCATCTAGTAAAATTGCCTCACCAGTAATGACTGGGGACATTACTGCTCTTGCAGGCTTGGTTTCCTTAGAAGAAGAGGGCATGGTTATGTTAGTTTACCTTTCTGTCCATCCTGTAATTAACTTTTGATGTAATTGGTAAATATCTGCCGAGTTCAGCACTGAGATACAAGCCTGTAAGCTAATGGGATTCACAGGAGCTCCTGAGGACTGTTTTCTGGGGAAGGACTGCTCAACAGGGTTAGTGCCTTGCTGGGGGGGAGGCAGGCCAAAGGCAGCTGTTGCATGTTCTGCAACCAGCTGAGCAGTCAGCAAGAGGGAACTAGCCTACTAGTCAGTGTCCATGTAACTTCAAAGTAGCCACAGCAAGCATGGCTGGGCATCAGGGTTTGTGAGAGAATTTCATAGGAGACCTTCCTGTATTATAGTTTGCATTGGAAATTAAACAGACTCGGGAAAAAAGTCTTTCCAAAACCAGGCATTGCTAGTTCCACTAGACATAGAGAACCCAGTTTTTAATGAAGAACAGAGGTTCTCATGCAGCCACATGTTTCTGGATTCTGCTTCTGGCATAAGACATCTGCTATGATGAGACATGCTGCTCTGCTAAGTTTATTTGGACTCAGAAACGGAGCTACAGATCAAGAGAAAATAAGAGAATATTCTCTGGCAAGTAATGAGGAAGATGCGCAGGATTTGTGGGAGTGAGGTAACCAAGAGATTTTTGCATCTTTAAATCTCCTGATTGGAGAATAAGTTTCAACTTTTTCTGATCTTCAATTTAACCTTTAAATTTGACTGAACAAATTTAAAGAAGTCAAACCTCATGAGTCATCAGACAGTTGGAATGAAGCGACGTTTGGAAACACCCAAAACTTTAAATTTGGCATCAAAACACACTCCATTCGATTCCCTTTGTATATCAAATCCTTCTTAATTTTTATTGTCCAAACAGGAAGCCTCACAACTACATACTCAGCACAACACTTTTGCTTTCTGCTGTTTTACTCTGTTCTAATGGGAGTAGTATATGCCTCCCTCTCCTTGCACGGGGAATCTCATTTGTGAAGAAAAAGTTCTGCTAATGTCTCAGCTTGTTTTCAAATCACTACCAAGACTAGTTGAGGCAATGCAGAGACTAAATTATTCCTCTTGTTAGGGCAAACATTTCTGAATTCACCCTATGATCACCTGGCTTTGCTGACATGGCTTATGGACTTCCAGATATTCACCTTTTAAATCAGATACAGCAGGCTAAGAAATAGCAATCTTGGCAGGCCACTGATCCCTTTAGCTTCAGGAATAAAGACAGTTAGGAGATGTGAACAGCTGTTTTTATCTAGCAAGACAAAGTAATAAGGAAATATTGGTCATGGTAAACTGTCATAGAAGAACATAGAAAGAAACAAGGTCAGAGAGAGAAATACCCTTGAAAGTTCTTTAGGTACTTTTAAGATTTAGTGAAACTAAGATACAAGCCCTTCAGAAATTCATCCATTTATCCTTGTGTTTTAAGAAGTCTAAAATTTATTCCATATAAGCTGTAAGGCATTCACACACCAACCAGAGAAACAACTCTGACTAAATGCATATGAGAATCTTCTGCATAACTCACAAAACATACATGCGCATTATACTGCGACAGTTTACACACACTGTCGCAATGCTGGGACTTTCATTCCCTTGTTCTCAGACTGAAGAAAGCAAGTAGAAGAAAATTAAATAGTTGCTCTTTTCTCTTCCTTTTGTGCAGGTCAAACTTCTTTGTCTTCTAATTTGAGCAGACGCACTTCTGTTCATAGCAATAGGCTTACAGATTAGAGAGGCAAAAAGCTGTCTATTCTTACAAGCAACTGCGCAAAACCGAGACTGCACATCTTTATGTAGAAAGGCAACAGAGAAAAAGGCCGTGAACATGTATGTATAAGCAACTTACCTCCGCTTTGACTGCCTTGATTGTGTCTTCTGCTGCAGTTCCTGGTCTGTCTCCACTAGCAGACTGATTCACTGGCAGAAACCTGCGCAGATAAAAGGAAGTCAAAACATAATGAGCGCTTCAGTGTAGCAGCCGTGAGTGTCATGAGTTGGCAGCTTGTATTATAGAGCGTGTTTAAGTGCTGATTTGGCAGTGCTTCAGAAGTGAGGAAATCTTTGTGATGAAAAAGATCTTCTGTTTAAATTCACAAACCCAAAATGCACCATGCAGCAAGAGAGTTTAAGAAGTACTTGCAAATCAGTGGTTAGGATCTTTAGTTGGGACATGGGTGTTCCAATTCCCTGAGGCTGTGGTGGATCTTGACCTCTACTGTTGCCCAACTGAGGGGCTGTTCTAAATGTAATCTTTTAGGATGAAGAGGAGGAAGTATCCAGCTTCCCTCAACATATATTTTGGTTTATGTTAACTTTAAGTTCAACATTACAGTCTGTTCTAAGTCTGTTTTTCAGTGAGAAGCACAGCTTATGAAACCCATCTTATTCTACGTTAGTCACTTAGAGTTGACATACGGTTTCTGTAGGGACCCTTTGGTGTCAAAGAAGGTTTGAACATATCATATGACCTTCCTCCCAGTGAGGGAACAAACAGGGGTTCTTATTTCTCCAAGACATTTTCATCAACTCTGAAAACATAGTATCTTTGGAGATCCTTGCCCAACTGCTGAAATAGTTGCAGTCACTCCAGGGGTTCAGTCCTCACTGAAATTAGCTCAGTGACCATGAGTAGAAGGACATGTTCTGTGTCCTTAGGCAGCTGGGTTACAAAGTGAAATCCTCCTACATAAGGACCAGCCTTTTCAGCCAATTAACTCATAAGTGGCTTCAGAAGAACTTGTGTTTCATCATGGACTGATGAGCATGTAGAAGAAAACCAGATGAAAGGGTTGTGTTCTTGGGAACACTGTTGTAAATAATATGATGTTTTTGGCTGGTGGGGGAAGGAATGGAGTGAAATTAGAACAGGGTGTCAGTGAAGCCACAGTAACAGTTGATTTATGTACAAAGTAGAGAACATTGTTTGGTATGGTGAAAAAAGTAATTTGGTAATTTCTCCATGAAAAGCATTACAACTCAGCTCTTAGATGACTTAGAAGTCTCTAAGTGACAGTAACTTTAATTAAACCATAAATTAATCACTCAGAAGGGCTTCTGTGACATGATGTCTAGTCCATCCTCATGTCCCAAGGTGGGATCAACAGTCCGCATGATGTTTCCAATGCTGCTTGCCCAACCTGTTTTTACTGATTTTCCAGAAAATTCGACACCCTGCCTCCTCTATGGTCTCTCAGGTTGCACAGCTGCAATCTTCTTCCTAGGTGAATTTAGGGGATGCTCTGGTTTCTTTCAGGTATCTTGCTATTGCATTTCCCATTGTAACTATTGAAAACTCATAAAGTAGGTCTCAAGTCCTCATGTGTTTCTCCTATAAGCAGTGAGTTAATTGAAGGGCTGACTCTCTGGAGGGTATTTGTCAGCAGGAGTTCATACTGGGTGTACAAAATGTTCTTGTCTGTAGGGGAGCTATTTTGTTTGGATCAAGCTCTGCTTACATTCATGGAGCGCAAGAAAAGAAGACAGGCTTCAGCAGTGGGATCAGGTGATCAAACAGGTCTCTTGTTTGTCTTAGAAGGGAAAAGAGCATAAATGGTATCAACAATGGTTAATTTATTCATCTAATGAACCATTTTGCAGAGTGAGACACTGACCCTTTAGTTATATAATGTCAGCAGTGAACTGTCTTAGTGTAACAGCTGTACCTGCCCTGGTAAGCATCCCAGTCTTGGCCCATGACAACATTTTATTCAAATGAGAATGAGGGTGTCATGATGAAAGGAAACCCCTAAAAGCACTGTGTTTCTTTCCACAGTGAAGCTAATGGCATTTCATTCTGGAGGGACAGTGACCCATAATGATGTAACCTAATAACCATGGAGGCTACCCTTCACGTGAGTCTTTGTGCATTCAATACCTATTTGAAACAAGATTGGCAAACCAGAGTTCTCCCAGGAAATTAAATAGAATGACACTTTCTTCAGCACTGTTTTCAAAGTAGCCCTTCCCACTAATGTGCTGTAAATACCCATAGGGTGGAGATAATGGATTCTTTCTAGAGATGTTTGGATACTTTTTGTTTTAGTGTTTAAACCCCAAAGAGACTTCTCAGAGGCATGATAAAGGCTAGAACAGCCCAGTTATGTGGTAGCCTGAGGATTCCATGTGAAATAGCAGGAGATGTGAAGTTCCTGCTGGGTTCAGTGTAACTTTGAACCAGTGTCCCACTGAAGCGCTGTCACTGCCAAGATGAAATCAGCTCCTTTCTCCCACCCTGGAGAGTTCATGTATACAGATCCTGAAAGTGTTTCAGCCGAGGCTGAGTCTGTCAAGATTTCTCTATCTCAGGGGGTGCCTTGAACCCAAGTTTTCCATCTTCCAGGTCCATGCTTGAACCACAAGACTGGTTATTGTTTTCTGCTGGGTCTACCCTCCCTGTGTCCCTTGCTTTTCCTCATGAAAAATGAGTGGTCCTGTTGCAAATGAAGACAAACCATCTTCTTTTCAGGAGTGAGTTTTTTGTGTGAACTCAGTTTTTACTTTCTGGTCATTGTTAATTTAAACATAAAATTAATCAATACCATAACTGCTAGAATTGGTCTTGACTTACATTATGCTTTTCAATAACTGCTAATCCAATAAACTGAGAAATAATACGAAGAATGGAAAACGTCTTAAGATCACTGACCATATCCAGAGAAAGTCAGTGCTTTCATTACTGTTAGAGTTTAAAGAAGAGAGCAGGCTTCAAGAAAATCCTGTCTTCCATTAGCAAAGTACTACACTTATTGTGGAATTTAGGCTATATCAATTAAAAAGTGATTACTGACCCACAAGGTTATCAGAAAATAATAAGTGCACCATCGGGACACTAAAGCCATTGCAGTGACATGTGATGTGAAAACAGCATCAGGATGATCCTTTTCTCTGACTCCGGCAGAAACCATCTGATGCAAAACAAAGTTTTGTTTGCACCCAGTGAAAGCAAGTGTCGTTGAACGAGTCAAGTAAGAGTCAAGAATGAGTTTGTGGGTTAAGGATACTTCTGCATCAGATCGATAATTTCATTGTACATGTGCAAAGGTGCATCCAATCCCCAGATGAAATCCAGGTGTGCCCATTCAGGAATCCTCTTGTGATAGATGAGACGCTTAACTTGAGACAGTAAAATGGCCGCATCCTTGGGATCTGCGAGCAAGTCTTGTCCCCCAGTCCATGCTGCAGTTTGTACAGTCATCTCTTCTACGTTGTAGAGAGGAGGAGTAGCCTGGAAAACATGAAGCAGTACAGGAATGAATGTCCAGGAAAACACAGAAAACTTTAAACATTAATTTGAAGCTTTCTTCTGTGCTGTTTGAAGTAGAGGTGCCGAAACCAAACAGGAAGGAAGCAAGTACCCTTGCTTGCCTTTTCTGTCTGTGCTTACAGGGATGACCCAGCTAAATGAAAACCACCTCCTAAATTGGCAAAGAGTTACCGTTGGGTCTTTGACCTCTTAGCTAGGCGAGGTTCATAGGGCAGGAACTTGGAACAAGACAGAAAAAGTCAGGATGCCTCTGGATAATCCCCCATCTTTGTCCTTTTGGAGTACTGGTTTGTCACAGAAAACACGTGACAAGGGTGAAAAGGAGTATGGAGTGGCTTCTGTAGGAGGAGAGGGAGTAGCTTAGGATTCCTGAGTTTGGAAAATAGAGGCAGGGAGAAGAGACAGGCTTATGCAATCACAAATGGTATAAGAAAGAGCATAGAAAGTAATTATGCCATTACTTCTCATAACACAAAACCTAGAAGGCATCCAGTGACTTTCCAGGGGCAAGCAAATTCAAGACAAACCAGGAAGTTGCATTTCATGAAAGACATCATTAAAACATATATCTTGTAATGATAGACTGTTGTGGAGACCTAAAGGGGAGAAGGATCAAGGATGGGATTAGAGTCTTGAAGGGAGGAGAGATTCCTCAGGAACTGCTTGAGGATAAAGTCCTCTTGTTTCTGCCTGCCAGAACCTAGGGGTAGCTATTAGCTCTCTGGTTGCCCTCTTCTGAATGTTGTTTTTCTGAACTATCCTATATTGGCAACTGTTTCAGTCAGCTAGTAAGCAAGATACCTCTTTGGTCTTATCCACTAGATGTAGTCTTGTTTTTCAAAATTAATTTTCTCTTTCCTGCCCTCACTTCCTCTTGTTCCTATTGATCATTAAATTGAAAAGCTTGGGTCTTCTCTCTCTCTCTCTTTCTCTCTCTCTCTCTCTCCAATAAAAAGATATTATTGCCATCAGTGCTTGTATTCTTTCTTTGTCGACTTCCAAACTGGAAAGTAGTAATACTTTCAACTACTTGTATTCTGAAAATGTGTTTCCTACTACATCCTTGCTCTCTTCCTGTATGCTTCTGTGTTGTTCAAGGGTGATAATACTGTTTCACTAAAATATACCTGTTGATATTTTTCCATGTTCTTCTTTGAACTGCCCCAGTTGTAAGCCTGGAACTTCCCTGAATGGGCCTCCTAAGAGGATGAACACAAAAAGGGTAGTTATAAAGATATCATTCAGGAAGTTTTTTTCCCTGCCAAGCCTCTGACTCCAATCTTAAAGCCTCAATGGAAACTCTTCTAAGAGCTAAGAAAGAGACAACAGTAAATTAATTAGAAGTCTCAATCAATGAAAAGGAGTCAAATGTTTTGTCAGAACCAAGAAAATCATGGCTCCTGCAGAAAGACCCAGGAATGCTCTTGCAGGCCATTTGTTCTAGTTTGAAAAATTTTTATTAACAACTGCCTCCAGCAAGTTCCCCTCACTGCTGCTGCTGTGTCCTCTTCTGACAGTCATGTTGCCATCAGTCAGCTGTGTGAGTGGCTCCTTCTTATGTTTTCTCTTCTGTCTCTGGTTTGAGTACATGAGTCACCATTTCTAGTTCTTCCCTTGTGCTTTGCCTACAGTGTGTGCTGTTACTACTGTGAGGGACACCACCAATGGGATCTTAATATTGAAGCTAAGGTGTCTGTTAACTCCTTTAATAGTAATAATAGCAAAGACAATGAAGAGTTAGGAGTATTACTCCTGTATGTTTGTACTTGGCAGTCTGTGGCTAAATGCTGAATTAAACC